AAGATTCTGTTTAACTCGAGGTACATGGATTCAAGAAAGGCTAAAGCGCGACAACGTTCCTATGTCTCATTTTTCCCAAGAGAAGTTAATTTAAAGCAATTGTTAAATGAGCATTCGTCTCTGACCCTTAACAATTGAGTATTCAAAATTAAATGGCTGAATAAAATCAGAATTAAAAGTTCTACCGCTACAGAAATATTTCTTTACTTTTTTCTTTTAAAAAAGAATTATCGTAAAATTACATTTTGAATGAGTTACAGTCACGCTTTCTTCTTTACTGGAATTTGTAACGCGATATAAAACGTTCCAGCGCAGCTCTTTGTTGCTTCTTTCAATTTATTGAACTTGAAAGAATTTTGTATCTATTTTACGGGGAGAAAAGTTTAACATAATATATCGTGTACCCAAATGGACATTTAATAACGCTGCTGCTTTGGATTTTGCTCGAAGAACACCGTGCAACAATATTAAACTTCTTATAGTGATCCTTAGTCATGACATTACCATTAAGTACTCCTCCAAGCAACTTTTATCTTTCGATTGACGACATACACATTTAATATCATTTTTCACGATTCACCCGTTAACGCTATTTTTGAACGTAGATTCCTTTAACTAACCATATAAATTTATCTACCAAGGATTTTATCTTTAGGCAAAAGATTGAACCCTCCGTTAATCTACCAGAGATTGATTTATCATTCAAAAATAACATTCGGTTGCAACAGTGAAGACCGGAACAACTGAATTACTTTTCGGAATGAAGTTATAGTCCCAGTACATGTATTCTGTGATATACTATTCAATTTTTGCGTGTAAGAACGAAAATATTCCGTTGAATTTATATGCAATAAACACTGTTCACTAGTAACGAATAGCTCTGTACTGAACTAAAAAGAAATAATACCAGTACAATCTATACATTTCGCCAAACAAACGACAATACATATTATCGCGTTGTACCGATTTACACGGTGCCGTAGTACAATCGCGTAATATTTTGCAATACCAATTCATTCCAACGAGAAACAATTTACAGAAACAATTTACAGATACTAAATAGAATAAATGCTGTAAAATTTCCCACTCGACGTGCATATTTTTTAGATAGTGCGATTGAACTACACTGTATACTCGATCCTATTATTCAAAAAACATAAATTCCTCTACTAAACTCACATAGCACATATAATATGAAATCTGTTTTGAGGACAGTGTATGTTCACCGTTTCTACCGATTATCTATCTCTCCAGTAAAAATAATAATATGAAAAACAGCCATTTTCCGTACTACCTTAACCTCTTGAAGGATACTGGCACGTATGTGTACGGTTAGTTTATCTTTTATTCAAGCATTATGCCGAAACTGCAATTCGATATTCACTAAGAAATTCCCTAACAAAAAAGCACATTTTACCAGTTGACTGTCGGTAATATTTATAAATATATTTTAATTAAAAACTGCCGACGAATAAAAAAATATTCTTTCTGGTCTTAATAACATCGTCCATGAAGAGGTTAAAATCATCACAAAAACTCCATAATATTTCTCCTCTAAATAATAGTTTTAATGAAATTCAATGCCATTTGTGTATTATTACTAACATAGCAAAGCCTCCAGTACAAAATTCATAATTTCGTTACATTTTAATTCCCAGATATTCGTGTTTGTGAATTTGCATAAACTTCCGCAGTCTAGTTACGACGATCTATCATGTTCGATCGGACAGAAATCATTTCACTCGATAACAGGGGAGGCACCGTGCGCATGGCCAGCGCACGTGGCCCCCGCCAAAAACAATAACCAAACATACATAGTGTGCCATACCCGTGGAAAACGAAACCAGGCCTTCCCGTTTTCATTCCTCTTCCCCCAAACGCCGGCTCGGATCGTTCCTGCGATATCTCCGTGAACGGGGAAAAACTCTAGTCCCTTTGCGAGTCAAGAAGGAAAATGATCGTCCTAGCAGAGCGGTCGATCAACCCACTTTTATCGAATCCAAACGAGGGAAAGGGAGAAACGACGAAGTTAACGAAAATATGAGCACACCGACTAAATCACGAATAAAAAAAAAAACTGAATCTCTCGGTGTGTATATGTTCCTTTATTTATTTATTCTCGATTTTTGATCATTTCGACGAAACGTCGCGTGTTCCATTGGGGACAAGGACCAACGAGCGACCATCCGCCGCCGCGTCGCTCGATCGACTGAGTGAGTCTCCGCTCCCCCGTACGACTCGAATCGTTTTATTCCATCTCCCACCATCTTGCTCTCTCCCACCCTATTCGACGATGTATAGGGCTGCCGTGTACAGGGTGTCTCATAACGCGCGACTCTGGGGGGATGGAGTGTGGGCATCTCGAAAGAATTCGTCTATTTCGGTCAATCGTGAGGTATGATTGACACTTGAATCGAATCGTTAAGGATCGAAAAATTTAGGAGGAATCTTGTCATGATAAATTTAAAGAAAAAAGTATTTATTTTCCTGGGAAACAAATTTGAGACCGTCCTGTTTTGGAGCGGTCTGTAGAGGACGTCTACCACTGAATTTGTTAACGCCACTCGGTTCAAGAGGATAGGGCGCATCCCTTAAGTAGAGAGGTTTCTCTTTCGTCAGACCGTACCACGATACTGGGACTGGGCGTAGGAAAACTAGCTATAGAAAAATTTATACGCATAAATTCCTAATTACAGTGGGTGATGAAATTATTATGAACACTTCGAAGTACCACTCATTTGAATTTTTATTAAGAAGGGAATTGACAATACACTTATAATAGTACCTTCTTTATTACAAAACATATTATTATTCTATATGAATTCAAGTAGGAGATAAACAATCCTCAACAATCAATATTTATTTCGGTTTCGTACTTTTTCACATTTCCGTCTACATACATATATCGATGAAAATGACGATACAAAAACTGTACAGAACTTCTCTAATCCTCTACGATTGAATTATTATTTATTGGTCTGTCCAAGATACATTCTTATTTAGTACATCACTCTTATTCAGTGGAAATCGCGCGTTTTCCACTTCCGTCACAATTAAGGCACATTTCCACGTGGCAGTAAAAGTGTCACGGCTTTTCCTGTCGCGACACTGTATGACAATGTAAATCAACGTCACGACAACATCTATCTAGTTTTCACGACGACGGAAGTCATAACATTTAGTGTCACGACCGTAAAATTCACTGTCACGTGGAAACGTACCTTTATCGACAGAATAACGCGTGCAACAATAATCCACGCGAATTCCAGCCTCGTGAGCAGCAAGTCGACTATCTAATTTGCCCCCCCCCCCTAATTCCACGCGATAATGACAGACAGGGGAGGATGGGCGGGGGACGTCTTCGGTTCCGTAGGTAATGCGGCTAATCCGACACGAGGTCCTCCACTATACGAGCAAGTAGCGAAACGGACCCTGGGTTGGGTGAAACTTCCGGGGCCATTACAGCGAAGAGCACGTTACATTTTCCCCCCACCCCTCCCCCAGTCTTTGGCCACGATACTTACCAGAATCTTGACGTGCTCTTAGAAACTCTCTCTTGAGCTATCAGGAGGCCGATGCTGGTATCACGAATGGAAAATGGACGTTTATGGCCTCTCGGTTCTGTTCCATCTATCGATTGACGCCTACCTCATTAGGTCATTGCTGTTTATCGTTATATACGGTAAACTTAATATGATCAGGAGCGTCAGCCACGACGCGACACAAAAATATCGATCGTTTAAATCCCCTTCATCGTTGGAATCTTGATCCATCGGCTTTAACCCTTTAACCCGCAAAGTTGCACCGGTGCAACACTTATTTTAAAAATGTATCAAAGTCTGTCTTCGGTTAGTATAGACTCCTCTCGATTATTGTCCCGAACTCGGATCCACGCCAGGACAATAATCTTATAGGGAGAAATGCTTCAGACCCTCGTAAATTCGTTTTCAGATTGATTTTGTGATTTTTCGAAACGCGTAGGAATTTATTGATACAAAATCGACGAACCAACCACAGAACATTCTCGTGGCCCCTTGTCGAAATTCTTTTCTGTTTATTCCCGTTTCAGCGAAACGTTTTCCGAGGCCTCTGAACGTTTTCCCGCGACACTGGGGAAATCCGTGTCGGAGAAAATTCCAGGCCAGTAGGTGATATGTGTGCATGCACATTATACAGCCTGGTTGCTGCGCTTTGAAACAAGAGGACTAGCTGGGGACAGCTCGTTAAAACTTTGATATCGACACACCAGGTCCTCTGTGTTCTACGAAACCTCCGTCGACAATTTTCGTAGAACCGCGTGTGGACGTTGCGGTAAATACGCACAAATTCCAATGTACAGTTCGTGGCCAAAAAATTAGGACTGCCTATAATTATCCAAATGTTTCGTGGTAATCGTGGAATGAAAAGATCAGAGTGTAATTTAATAATAAATTCCATTAGCTGCTAAAGTACGTACATATAATTACATATTGATAATGTATATATTATTGCACGTAATTCCTTATTATTTTTTTACTTTTACCAGGCAACTCTCCCGACATGCTGTAATAAAAGCAAAGGGGGAAACACAAATTATTAATACATATTTATGTAATATATACGTACGTACCTTAGTAATCCATTCAATTATACGATTACCGCGAAAAATTTGGAAAATTGTGGGTGGCCCTAATTTTTTAGCCAAAGACTGTACAACAGAAAACGTTTCATTAATAAATATATCAATATTAATATTGATTTTTCTACGACAAAATTTATCACAAGCTATAAGTTCCTCTTTATAAAATTCTATAGTAATTTTCAAAATTGTCTGGATAAAACTCTGCAATAATTCATTTTTTATATAATTCTTCCCCCTATTAAAAATTTCCCAGCACCTCAGCAACTCAAGAAATATTATTTCTAAATTTTTAGCACGAGCACATAAAAAGATTACGCCACCACTGGCCTGGGCTAACGAAATTCCACGATATCACGTTATTTCTACGTTTCTCCCGGTTCTACTTCTTCCTGTACGGCGTCGGATAATCCGTGAGAACGCTTCCCGTTGAAAGTATCACCCCGGGACCCCCTAGGATCCCGCCCTTGTTCGCCAGCCAGCCGTTTCCGCCGAAAAATCCGGCTGGATCGAGCCTGTCCGTGTAATATCCAGCGTCGTTCGCCCCCGCAACCTGCAGCAATCCGTTCCCGTTTCCAAACTGCTTCCCCTCGCTGTTCCCTTGGACTCCAAGATTGTTCAGCGTCTCCTTCAACTGGACGATACGGTCCCGTAGGAAAGTTTGCGGCGAGAATTGCACGTTTTGCGACAGGGGCGCGAGAAACCAGGTGAGAAGACTCGGTTTCGCGGTGCTGGATCCGTCAGGCTGTACAAATGTAATATTGAAAAATATAATATTAAAATCTTAACACCGGTTAGTGCAAAAAATAACGTGGTGAATAAGATTGACCGTTAGAGTGCAAAGGGTTAAACACTGACCTTCTTAGTGGTTCCATCGTTTGAACTCGATGCAGAAGTGTCTTGATCCACGCCTGTCCCCTCTGATCGTACCTCACCGTCGATCTTGTTCGTGGATCCGTCAATGAATGTGTCCAGGGCTTTCGAGTGTATTCCAACGATCTAAATATTTAACGAAATTAAATCCAATTTGAGGTACACGAAAATTCTGTTTCACTTTTGAACAGAAGTCGATAAAGCTAAGTGTGAAGTTACCGTTAAAAGCAGTAGAAAAACCAACGCTGACGGCATTGTATATCTCTATCCTAGCGACAATACCGATTACACCCAAAAAACACGTTTCCAGAAACTTCACAGAATTTACAAGGAACGTTACAGTCGAAATGCAGCCGAGTTGAAATATGTCCAGTATATATATGCATCGTTCCTTACACCTCGTGTTCCCTTTATCGTATAGGGGCACCCTCATGACTCGCAGATAAGGACGAAATTACCAAATTGTACGTATATGTCCATTCATATGGGCATAGGACGGATTGATTCATGTCGAACCCATTTCCCTAATCGCAGTGAAACTTGACGGCTTCTCCAATCGGAAAACGCTGGTTATTAACAATCAAGGACACGGGTGGTGTATTCCGTACGCCATTGATATGGAGAACTCTTTCATTTCTCTAATATTTTTCTCGAAAAATGTCTTCTTAATCCTAATTATCTACAATTAAACTTAGAAAATTATTCAATTAAAGGATAAACAAAAAACTTGCTGCTGTATTTTAAAACTGCGAAGAAAGAAATTACGTATTCATAGTCTGTGTCCTTGAAAGTTAACTATTCGCGAAGAACGAACTACAATCTGATTGGTGTTCCGTTTACTAGTTTACCGATGCACACTCACACTCGTAAGTATTCGAACACTTATCGAATATGCAGTGAATGTCACGTGGCATTACGAAATCTCTGAAAGTATGAAATAAATATTGTTTAGGGGATGCTGAAGCTCATAAACAACGCTCATGTTGTACAAACTAATAAAACTGGCCTAAGGTATATTAACCTCTTGAGGAATATGGCACATCCTATGTTATACCTATATATTATATCTCTACTTATATACTTATTGTACTGCTTACTCTTATTTTTGCGGAAGCATCACATTTTTCGTACAGAATAAATATCCTAATAATTACGAGTGGCAGTGAACATCTAGAGTAATCGTACAAGTAAAATATAATATTAACTTCTTTCAATTTTCTCTCAGGATTCCACTGTTTCTGGAACTGTATCAAGAGGAACGCGAAACGATTCCGAGAGAACCGGTCGACCTTTCATTTTTTACCATTGTATTCAACCGTGTTCCCATAACTGAATCGCCTTGAAGGATCCATGTCTTCCATTCCCTTTTTTCATTCCATGAGATCGTTACCGGTAGCCTTGTGCAAGGTCGCAGTCTCTCTCTCGAGAACGAAAGTCCCAATCGTGTTCCTGAACCGCCACTTGTTTCGCCGCCATCTTGTTTTGTTCCCCTTTTCAGTTCCTTCCGATTCACTTTCGTCCCAGCTACATTCCATACGAATATATCTCTATCGTTTCCGTACAGTGACCACCAACGCATCTGATTAATTCGCGACAAAAACATAGTGATATTATTCGATTCCGATTCGATTGTTCAGAAGATCGATTCCCTTAGATAACACGTCACTGTCATATATAACACATACACCAACAGCCAAAAGTACGGGACTGAAAAAAAGTCTGATAATGAGAGAAAAAAATTTGAAACTCAAAGTCACCCAGGTATCTAAAAAAAAAATCTATTTGTATCCATCCGATGCGTCCCTTAAAACGCTTTAATTACAATGTTTAATTTAGATAATAATTCTTATTGACTCACCCTGTATATACCGATTCCATAACTTTCATTTTATCGTAACAGAATAATCAGTTACTGTTCCATCACTCAACTCTGGTACCATACTTTTGTCTGTGCATTATACTTGTCAGTGAGGTGTTACCCAAGGGAATCTTCTAAAAAATCGAATCAGAATCGAACGCATCCCCACTTGATATACAACTCAAAGGAATGAAACAGCGCTCCGTTTCGAACCCCTTTTTTTCCTCCCTGAAGGTCTCCGATCGAACGTCGATAAACAGCTGAATTACCATAAGCGCCGTCCCGTCCAGTGTCTCCGGACAGTCGCAAAGAACCAGTTGCATATAGCGGGAAAAGCATCGACCGTGGTTCACGGACACGGTCCGCATGCCGATGGATCGCGAACTTAATTTAAGTGTCACGATAGCCAGGCCAGTTAATACACCTGCGGAGACGTGACGGAGGAACCCGGGACTCGTTTACGTACGCGCGATCACACGTAGAATATAGGTGTGCGCGGCGAGGACGAGCTGGAACCGTTACCAGCTTGCTCTGCGTTCCCTCGTTCCAGTCGTGTGTCTCGTGATCGTTCGATCGGGCGCTCGATCCGATCAAGGAAAATCGAAAGAATTCCCTGTGGGGGGTGGTGGTGTCCAGCATTTTCGGACCGGTCCATCGAAACGGTGGCCACGTAGTCGGCCATTGGCGAGCAAACTGTGTGCACCACAGGGACCAAATTTCGGCGCGAACGACGTCATCCCTAGAGGATCGGACGCTGATAAGAAAGTGTTCAGATTCGTGTCTTTGAAAAGTTGTGACCTTGAAGTGATAGAAGTTACTAGTTTTTAATTTTAAAAGAAGGAATTCGAGGGAAATTGTTGAGGTAGTTTTCGGGATTGGAGCTGTCGAAGTGTGTTTGAAGGACCATCATGAACACCGTTTGTTGTCTCTTTGTGACCCTCCTGTTTCACCAGGTGAGCAATGATCGTAGGAACGTTCGTGGTATCTCACTTCTTAGTCACTCTGTGTATCCACCGTAATGGGGATCTATGAAAGTCTAACTTTAGGATACCCTTGAACTCGAACCATAATGTTCTCGTTAGTGGAGGAGGGGGTTCAAATATAGGGGTCTAAATATGGGATAGTTCAAATATAGAGTCCTGTTAGATGCTTCATTCTAACAGAAATAGTGTGAAACTGCGACCCAAGAAAGAAAGAAGTTTACTTTAACTGCATATCATATAGCAAACGATATACAGTAAATCCTGGATAAGTGCTAATGGTCATATGCGACTGAAACGAATATCGTTGGTTTCGGAACTCCAAACTCTATCACTTTGTTAAACCTCATTAAAAAATCAGCTACACCTGGGGACTTCTTCTTGTCAATGGCCAAAAGCCTTCGAACACTCGTCGAGGATTTACTGTATGGGGATCGTAGGATTCGGTTCGAGTCGAATGGTTCATTAACACTTTCCTCCTGCAGGCTATCAGCGGGGTGGTCAGAGGTCCGCCAGCGTTTTCAAATCCTGTGTACTCAGATTCTTATCTTCCTGCAGCCATGCAGGTAAGTCTTGCGCTTAATTAAACGGGACTTAATCACGCACCCTACCCTTTCGTCGACGGAAATTTATGACGCTTCACGAGACGGGGACGATTTCATTACCTACTGAACGTTTCTTTACACTTGCCCCCCCATTAGAACAATACCTAGGTCGACCAGCACCATTCTTCTATTGACCAGTAATGAATTATGCTCCAAAAATAATATATATTATGTAATAATAATACTGATATAATATTTATTTATAACCGGGTTATAAACTCTTTGATACAATATACAAGTATATGGAAGTCTAGAGGAGAAACAAAAAGTTTAGATACACAATAATACGTAAAAATACACCAGAGTTTATAAAAACTGATAGTTTAATAAAATTTCACAAAAGTTCTACAGGACTATATAAAAAATTAGAAAAAAATGAACAAAAAAACGAACAAAAATTACAAAGGCATTTGCAAGAATATACAGAAACTTACGATTATGTAGAAAGTTATAAACATAAATAGAAATAGATCGATTGACACGAAACAACCGCACCTGGTACAGGTGATATTCCACGCGGTGGACCAATTGAAGCTACTCCAGTTAACGGAAGCGATTGCTAACACCTCGCCCATCAGCCACATAAACTGGTACGAGCAGAATCAGGAATTTTCAACAGCCTCAACGGAAACAGAGACCACCCAATCAGACAAGGGAATAGAGGAAGATGGCGTATCGACGGAAATAATCCCTGAAACGTCGAATACCGTAGAAAACACGACGAAATCGTACGAAATCGGCGAGGAATCGACGGAAAACACCTCGAGTGAACCGATCGAAGAAACCTCGAACCATCAGGAATCGCCAGAGGTGAACGCGGAAACGCCAGAAACGAACTACGCGACACCGGAGACGAATTACGAGACGCCGGAAGACGTGCAAGACGTCCAGGAGACGAACGAAGAAGTCCCTGAAGAGAATCATCACGAGTGGAGTCTATCCACCGTCGACACGAATGCTTCTTCCGCTACGGAAACGACCGCAGGTAGTGATGTGCCATATTCGAAATATCGATACTTTTCAATTGAAATATCGATACTTAAAGTGACGAGATATTACAGTATCCTTAATCTGAAAATATCGAAATTTCAATACAACCGCTGAATTTGCTGTAACGTAACAGATCGTAAGGAAAATGATATCAATCGCGAACTTCCTATAATGTTTTTGCAATTGGTCGATATCTTTTCCATGTTGTTACCTGATAATCTGTCTTACCAAATATCTGCTTGAATAATGATTCATTTTTTATTTTTTCGATTTTTTACTTTTGATTTAATTGCTAGTATCGATACCGATAATATTGATATTTTATTCCCCATACTTTGAGTATCAATACGTATGGATACCAAATATCTATACCAAATTTCGATACCAAATATCGATACAATTCAAATGTATCGCCATCACTGACCGCAGGATCGACGAGTATTTCGACTGGTTCGTTATCGGTCGAGGAATCGATCGAGCAAAAGAAAAAGGAACCCACTGTCGAGAGCGTGGTCCAGGAAGTGTACGAAATTCTACGACCTACACCATCGGAATTCCTGGACGTGGACACTGCGACCATGACGGAGTCGAAAAACGCCGCAGGAGTTTCGGTCGAAAACGAAACGGAGCACACTGAAGACGAGAACGACGAGAACAGGTGAAGAGATTTTACTTATTGTAGTTTTTGTTGAATTTTTTAATTCTGTGTCGTGTTTGTTGTTCGCTGTTCCTCCTACAATTTGAATACTAGTATTTAAGCCTGTCTTTGCCAGGCTTTACTATGGTACCGCAAAGATATTGAGCTAGGCTCATTTCAAACAATTAGGTGCTCAAAGTATACTTCTTTGAAAACAACTTACTTTTTGTAAACAACTTATTTGATTTTTTTAAGAGTTTCATTTCAACCTTCCTGGTCTTCGGGATGACCAAAAAAATGCCTCTTGACAGATTTTGCTAACAAACGCGCAGACACGTAAAGCATCTTATTATATAGGATATAGGGTGAACCAAAAAAGGGTTCATAACTTCCAGGATAGATAATACCTAATGAGGAAAAAAAGTCCTATTAAACTTGGCCCGAAAAATTACTATTTTCAAACAGTGTTCCATTTTAGTTAAAGCAACTGACGGTTCACGCGTCTATGCGAGAGAGTCGATTTATTTGAATACATCAATCGACTTCCGAGGAATCGGAAGAATTGTTGCCATACATTCACATCTACTATCGCCTAAAATTATCAAATACACGAATTTGTTCGAAATACCAGCCCAATTTATTTAGACAAACAGGTGTCTAAATGGTTAACGAGACGGTCCTTTCGAACCCAATTTGTGTAGGTTCACACGTCTAGGCGAGAGGGTCACGCAAGTGCCGAGGCCAAGCCTAATCAGCTACTTGAAACGCGCCCGAGTGCCGCCGAGCGCGACTCTTCAGCAGCTGGCGAACCTGTACGACTCGCTGAGCAAGGACGCGAGGAAACAAGGCTTCGGCAAGTACACTGGATACTCCGACGAGGTTCTAAACACCTTGGAAACGTCCGCAGAGGGTGGGATCGTGCCACAACTAAAGCAACTCTTGGAGAAGGTCCTGGAACGAAACGAACTGATGCGAGTGGACTCGAGGAACAAAACCAGACAGGCTATCCAAGATCTGAACGATCCGTCGAGCAGCCTCAACAAGGAATTGAGGCCCCTGTTACCTTTACGATACTCGCTTTAAACGGTTCAGGATCGGTCTGTTGTATTTAGAATTAATTTCTGTTTTTCATTCTAGAAGGAACATTAAACCCTTGCCTTATAATGACGAGTCAGACTAAACAGTCGTCGAAAAAAATCATACGACAATGGGTTAATCAGCGTGATATAAATATTCGTGAAACGAACCGAACGCCTGAATAGAACCAATAGACAAGTAGCCATAAATCGATGATCAATCGATCATGTTTTTGTTTCTCTTTTTTTACAATCTGAAAAAACATCGATTAACATGTTGTAGATACCAATCAGGAACTACCAATAGGAAGTGAATCGAAATGACTGAATAGAAGTCGAGAAAGTAATTTCAGTAGTGATATTCCAACGACGTTTGAACCGATCTACACGTAATATCTTTAAGAAGCCCAGGAAGATACCTGGACGCGGTAACAACACCGTTTATGTATAATTAATGCTCAATAAAAAGCTTCTGTATTCAATCGACCCGTTGACTCATTCAGCCAGAACAGTCAGGCTAACGTGAGGATAATTATGAATACAATAAAGTATTGACTCATGAATTCGTACCAGCTATAGTCAAAACGAGTAAACATATTTTAACAATTAATTTGTCACAAGAATAATTAGTTGTGCATTCAAGTGTTAGGTATCGAATGTTTCTAATCAGTATGAATATATCATCGAAATAAAATATAGAATAACTCACGAGATCTAGGCACATCGAGGGGGGAGGGTGGCCAAAATTTCGCGAATTTCAACAATCCACCTTGACCCGTCGTTCGAACCAGAGACGATATTGTTTATTGCTCGGACGATATGACCGGGACACAGAGCCCACGAAGCGGTGTCGTTACGTGCCCCGAATAGAAATCTCGTTAAGCAATTCTCTGTGTCGATGGTTTGTCCCAAGGAGCCAAAGGCGTAGAACGAAAAACAATGGGGGGATGCATGGGACCACGAACACAATTACACTTCGTCGGTAGTGTCACGCCGTTGCGTTGCACGTCGGTATAAATGGATTTTGAAATCGATGGGTCCTTCAGTACGGTTCGTTTCGCCTCGAACGAAAGGAATAATCGAACGAGTGACATGAAGATTCACACATTGGCGCTCTCTCTTCTTTGCGTAAGTGAAATTTTCTCAAAAAGAAAAAAAAGAAATCTAAATCACACCCTTCCCTTAATCAGCAGTAAAATTGAATTTAAAATCTGTGCGCTGAGAAAGCTTGATTAAAAATAAATTGAGAAATTTCGACGGAGGTAGGTCACCGAACAGAGTTACAACAATTAGAACGTAGTTAGTGTTCTACCAGTGCCCCCAAGAAATTCATTTCCCCGGGCAGTGCGTTTAATTAGAGTAGTAAATGTGACTCGAACAGTGAAAAAGAATGGAAACAGATCTCCTTTCTTTAACGAAAAGTTGATTCAATTTAAATGAGGGTAGGTACAATCAGTGGTGTTCTTAGCATTTGTACCACCCGGCGCGGTAATTCGTAGTGTCACCCCCAATCCCTCAATATTATATAAAATGTTTGGTCGTTAGAAAGCATGGATTTAAGAGTTCGTAGGGAATATCATATATTGTAGGAAAGGGCTGACAGTTGTAAAATTGGCAAAAATGTAATTTTCTAACATACGTTTGAAAATATTGGGTGTCACCCCCACGATTGTGCCAGTCTGGGTGCTAGTTAATAAATTAATTCTGAGTCTCGTCAATTATAAATGGGAAACCAAATGATTTACAAGCGCAAAAACCTGGGTTTTTCTAAGTCGAACCATCGGAGTTCCCAATATATCCCCTGTCGTTAGTGGTGCTTACATCAGGCCCTCCTCCTGTTCCCATTGTCACCAAGTTTCTGGACCCCAAATGGGACCAAACGTGCACATTTTTAATAATGGACGAAAACGCGCGTATTTTCAGCTCTCCGTGGCGAGAGTGCAATCGAAGCCGCAGATAACGAAGCTATTTCCGGTCCAGGAGGCCGTGGAATACCATCAACGAATTGGCAACGAGACAAAACCGTTGGACAGGTTTCTCGGTAAGTTACGAGCCACGTACGACTTTGTCTTCCGAAAACCGGAGAACACCAGCAACGTGGAGAAAATATTAGCAAAGGACGCACCTGATCCGGACGTGAACGCGTTCAAATTGATCTGGTCGAATCGGATGCAAGAAAGCTCGAGGAAGAACAATGTGGATGCAGAAAAGTCTCGTCCGACCGAGCACGTTTTCCGTCTAATGAGGGACGATTGGGTGAACGATATTCAACCTTTGGATCAGTTGGAACCTCTGGAACCATTGGATTTAGAGGACGAAACGGTTGATAAAGACAGCGAGGTGGAATTTGTCACTCCGAAATCCAGTCTACAGTTTCCTGTCACGTTAAGCAGACACCTTGTCGACTGGCTTGGATCACTTCTGGGGGTCACTTACGGGGTCTACTCGAAGCTGGCCAAAGCTATTTACAATAATAACACTACAGTGAATAATTGACGGTAATTAGTGCAAGGAATGCGTATTTTGTCGGATAAAATGGAAATTGAGATTCGGATCCGTTTCAGGGTTATCGTGTGATCAGTTTATCGAAAAGGATTCAAGGATGATCTTCTGGTCAAGTAAAGCGAACGACGGTTCTTTACACTTGTTTTATTCAAAAATATCTCGGTCTGAAAAATACATGTGTCACATTTTGTCCATTTTCTCTTTTGGCAATCATTGTATCATACAATAACAATCGTTTTTTTTTCTTCGAGTAACACCTTATTGTAAATGCGTGTTCATTGTTAAAATACTTTATCATTGTATCGCCTTATGCACGATGACCACCACTGTGAGCATCGAGATCTTATAACTAATTAATTAATTTTATTCAGAAGTAAAATGTTTTCTTAACCCAGGATAGTACAATGTCAAAAAAAAAAAACGAACAAAATACTCCATACCAACCTGCTCCTCTGCCTGGGTTAAGGAAACGAAAAAATTAAAAAAAGTTTAGGAAGAAGAGATAAAATACTGCTATTTCTCGTACATTGAAAGTCTTTGGTTCTATTATGACGCGGCTTGAATCTTATCTTAGAGCCATTTGTTCTAAAGTAATATCTAATAGACATTTGATTGACTTCGAAACATCTTTGTCGTTGCCGAACATAATCACAAATGTTAAACTCTACAGTGGGTCGATGTTTCGAGTGAACCGAATGACAAAGCAAATTTATCTTCACTGTAGATGACGTAGGTTATCAAAAAATCTGTATTTTTAATTCTACAGCACTAATAAGAGAAAATTGATAATCGTTTAATTAACTAAAGAGAACTCCAAGAAATATAATTGATTTCTTTCAATTTTTTGACAACCTAACTTAGTTTTTATGTCAAAATTAATTTTGAGCAATTTTACTGTTTTCAGTTACATTGGCCACTATATCGGCTTTGGACAATAATTTGTTGCAAAGATAAAATTTAACTCTTTCATGCATAATTACATAGACATGGTAAAAGGCAATTGAATAAATGCAAAAGTAATGAGAACTCTCCCCAGATATACTAATTTAAATATAAAAAATATATTAAAAACGATTATTTAATCAAATATATTCGAAATTAAAGAATATTATTTTGCCGAATATTCTTTGATTAAATTTTTGACTTCGTATTACAAGAAGCCATTAATAGTGCACGTTCTTTGAGCATTGCAAAATTAATATCACGTTTTTTTTTAAGCTATGGTAAAAAATTACAAAGAATAAATCGCTGCCGAATCTTTAAAGAACTTACTTTGGTTGCTAGAATAAAAATTCCTATTGCTTTTGCCTTAAAAAATAGTAAAAAGATAATTTAAAAAAAATAAAATAAAAAATCATACGAAATAATGAATGAAAGTGTATATGCTGAAATAAAAACACTGACTGATTGTGAGTTTGATCGCGCATGAAAAAGTTAAAAAATAAAAAAATAAGTAATAGATTAAAACATGATGAGTGAGAATGAATGCTTTCCTAAAATATGCACTATGCATTTGTTGCTAAAGATGAACACGGACGAATCAGAGATCAAGTTCAAACAACATACCTACTAAGTCTCTTTCAGGTAAAATTTGTATCTTATTTATATACATAAATATTCTACAAACTGTATAACGACGATTATCGGCAGTATACTATTACTTAACTACTGGTACTCGTTTCGAGAAATTGTTATCCTAATGGCAGATTGGTTTAAGTGTCTCATTCAGTAGTATTGGTCATACTTATGATCCAAACATATTCCATGTGAGATTAAGAAAATGCATTTAGAACTCTATCTAATTATAGTTGTCGTGATCGTAGACTAGAATCAGTAAAGAAACTATATTCTTCAAAGCTAGTTTAAATTAGACAAACGGTGTGCATTTATACAAAATTATCCCTCTCCCTTTTGTACAAGTACCAAATCAGACTGACATAAACTTAAAAAATTAAGTATTATCTTCATGCAAATAATAAAACTTAGTGCATAGCCCTCGCTTCAGAGTGCAACCGCTAAGAATACAAATTTTTAGGTTGTGTTCACGGAATACTAATTATTAAGTGTATTACAAAATTTCATGGCATTAATTTTCTTTACAGACGGAAAAATAGCTAAAAGTCTTTATTTAGAATGCAAATGGCGCTCAGTGATATGACCGCCATCAATTTTCGTTGAAATTTACATCGTTCGACGCCGATGAAAAATTTATTTTAATTGCACCTCAAACATTTAGTGCTGCCCCAATCATTTTCTTTTCAAGTCCTAGAATATTCTTCAATTCCTAATGTGTCTAACGAATTTTCTATTTGTGCTAACCTCAACACACTTCGTAAACAGCCTTTATTGCTTTGGACTTACATCAGATTATCGACTTACGACTAAGATGGCATTAAGTACCTTGTATTTTGAGGCAGAATCTCGTTCATGTTGACAGCCTGCTGTTGCAAAACATTTGCTTCTTTCATTGCTTGCTCTTTAAATGAGGAAAACGTATGTATTAAATTTTGATCTTTCTGGAGATTCTGAATGTACTGAAGAAATTGGTTGGGTTCTTGCTTTATGAACCCATCCTTCAGGAAAAAGTTCACTTCCTGTTTGGGCATTACACTGATTTCAGGAGTCTTTTCAAAGGATTCCTTCTGATCTACATAGAAAGTATCTTTCTTTGTTCTATTCCTCCTGATTCCTAAATGTGTTTGAGTATGTTTGTTCAAGTGATCCTTTCTAGAAAATGCCTTTTGGCATACCGAACAAGCAAAATTCTTATCACCAGAGTGAATAACATAATGCCTGGTTAAATGCTCATTCCTTTTGAATGCTTTTTGGCACACAGGACATTTGAACGGTCTTTCATCCGAATGGCCACGCATATGCTGATCAAGGTGCTCTTTCCTTTTTAACATAGCACCGCATTCTTTGCATTGATATTTTCGTTCCTGAAACAATGTTAAACATTTAAAAAATGATAAATAGCTTAATGAATTTTTGTAATTCAATGCATACCTGTATATGAGCTTGAATGTGCTGCTCTATTTCTGCCTTGTCTGAAAATGCTAAATTACACTCAGGACAGCAATAGAGCGTTGAACCATCTAGACCAACACTGATTTTAATTTCTCCAGTCTTAGCTCTAAATTTCATTTTTCTTTCAGTTTTAGGAGAATCCGTCTGTATTTGCTGCTCTACTTTCACACTATGCACCATGTTTCCATTTTCTTGCTGGTTCTCGACATGCACATTTAAATCATTTGGATTAATGGATACCATCATATGCTCAGGGTTCATAAAAGTGGTTCCATTCTGTAACTGAGCGTTCCTAAACACTGGAACACTAGGAATGTTAAGAATATTGTTCTGCGTGTGTTCCACTTTCTCTTCTTCAGTCTTGTCTTTCTTTACTTGTTCTGTTTGCAACTTAATTAACTGTTGCAATGTCAGCGGAAGAGTGGTAGCTTGTAACTTCTGAAAATATTCTGCCATGGCACTTTGTTGCTGGACCTGGACTTGAGAATCTTGCTGAAAAAAAGTCACATTTCTCATTCAGTATAAAGCTAGAAACATATTCTATACATCTGAACACAGAAATATAGTACCATGGCAGATGTCTTAGCTTCAATTTCATTCCTTGTATCTATTTTAACATTCTCTGGTTGAGAGGTAGAAGGCAAGTACACATTAGGTATGATCCTTACAGGTAAAGTATTAGGCTGAACTCCTAATATTGGGTTGTTTTGATTATAATTAGGAATGTTAATAGCCTGAATACCCTGCTTCTCACAGAGTTGCATGAGAGTATTGGGATCTGGCCAAGCAAGTATTGGTCCTGTGTACTTGTTAGTCGAATTCACCTAAAATTAAAATGTATATAACTGTCAAAGAGAACTCGAACGAAAAGGATCTTAACTCGGCAAATTCTGCGAAATCTCACCAATAAAGTCTGTTTCGGTTGATGCGATCCGGCGGCGGTAGTGTAAACAGCGGTTTGTTCCCCGTGAACAGTATCACCGCTGGTGAATTTCAACGTTGAACCGGGATTCGGTTGAGACGTTAGCTCCGAAAACTGAGGAAGGACCCCCTGGACAACGTTGCTCCCGGAGAAATCCATTTCACCGCGGAAAGGTACGCGTCTCCAGGATTCAAACATGCGATCGTTTATAACCTCTAGTATTCGCCACCGAGTGGCACAGAGTGAGCAACCACGATCACGTATCCAGATTCATATTTTTTTTTGTCGTGCAAAACCACAAGCTACTTTACGGACGAAGCATCGGTGAAAAACACGAGTTCGTTAATTAAATTAAAAAACACTTCTTCAATGACGATACATCGTAACGTAACGCCGCGTCCTGTGCGTTTCTCCAACATGGCCACGATAAAACACTATCCCGGACGTTGCTTTGAACATCATAAAATACAAACGATTAATTCCCCCATAATGTAATTAATGCCTATCTATTCGTTTCTCTTCTAAAGAGTATTCATCATATGAGAGAACAATAATAAACACATGTTTTTTTTGTCATTTCAATTAATTAAAAATTCGTGGGGAAAACATTATTTCATTGGGGTGGCGCGCCTGGATGGCATCTTTCTGTTTACAGTGGACGCTTGTCAAACTTCAAACGTTGGAATAAAAATAAACATTTCACTGGGGGATTTTCGGAGTCGAACTTGGATTGTTCTGTCAATTATTTGAAGTAATTGGAAAATGGTTAATAATATTCGAGGAAACGTGAATGTACATGACTGAGAATTGTTAAGAAGGGTATTAAATTTTATTGATTTCTTACGATTCCGTTAAATACCTAATACAGTATTTACTGGTGCTGTAATAGATGAAGTCCTAATCCCCTTCAACATCCAACATATATTGCTCTGACCATTTGTTGTCCAAAACTAATGTCTAACTAGTATAGGCTTGATAACTTCAATGTAATTCAGACCTATCAGACATTCCATATCTCCACATCTGACCTAAATCTAATTTGGATCTATCTAATTATCTATCTGAGCTTCTTTGAAATTTAACAATAGACTAAAGTTCTTTTTATTGGTAGGTGAATATGTAATGATCATATGGAGCAAAGCTTCAATGAACGTATAGATCAATTGCGTAAAAAAAGTAGACTTTTGTTGGCCCAAGTAGATAGGAATTCTCAGAGGGTTAAAGAGGAAATTAAAAGATTATACTCACAGTGAGTTCTGTTTGTCACCTGCAAAAGTATATATCTGGGAGCAAGCGTTGATCGTATTATGCTTTGTCTTTCATTTATAGAACTTTGGGGGACAATTACTATACAGCCAACAGAAGTTCATGTCATAGGGGAAATATCAAATCATGGCAATTACGGAATGATTCTAGTGGTGTTGGTGAAGCATTGCATTTAGATTATATTTCTGATAGCTCAGACCATTTACCTGCATCAATGCCTAACTTATCAAGAGCCAGAAGGGTATTAATAACATCGAAAAAACATTCTGAGCCACAGTGTTGCTCGAAAAATGTACAGAAGAAACCTGTAAAAGAATGTTACTGTCACCCGGAAGTGAAAAAAGTACAATTGAGGTCCACAAGAACTCAACATAAATCGGATACAGCCTGCAAATACTGCAGAAATCATATTGAGTTCAAGCCAGCAATTATAAAGGACAGTCTTGAAAGGTCACTAATAAATTCACCGATTAGTTGTGAGACTCTGAGGAGAGTTCAGAGAATAGACTATGCACCTAGATCACAATTTTTGCGCAATGTGCAAAGCAAAGTCTCCCTGCTAGATACTGCAGCAACAGGAGATTGCCCAGACACATGTTACAGATCGCCATGTTACCACGAATTTATCGGTAAGAGGAAACAATCAGAAATTACCGACAACTTAACAAAATCAAAATCCGTATCCGACAACGTAACGAAATTGAAATCTGTATCTGGAGTGGTAACAGATTTAGAGTTCACCGAGGAGGAAGAAAGTCCTAAGACTTCGAGGCAATCAAGACCAAAATACATAATCAAGAGAACCTTAACTTCGAAGAGAAGTGTACCTGACTTAAGTAAGACTAAATCAAGTTCCAAAACGTCGACAAACGGTAAAAGAACGATACAATCGTTCGCCAAAGAGTGTCCATGCTGCTCCAGAAATAAGGTGGAACAACCGACCAGAATTGCTTTGGTGAAAGAGGATATTCACTCGGGAGATTATGAACCTTCGGTTTACGTCAGTAATTTGGAACAAACAGAAAGGGACAAGCAGCATATTTCGGATAACGAACTGAGGGAACTCAGAAAATTCCGTGAACAAAATTACTTCGACACCCACGGGTCCAGCCACACGTTACACTCGTCGAAATCCTCGGGCTCTTTGGAACAGTATCTGCTGAACGACCGACTATTCCCAGAACCAGCGAGAACAATTCACAAAAAAGACTTGGTGGTGACGATGCCTGCCTGCGCCACGTTGCAGAGAAAACGAATTCATTATTTTCCACGGTACATCGTTCATCAGGAGAAGAACAACAGCAACACCAACTACAAAAAAAAGCGTTGCCAGACATGTCCCTTAACTGGCCACGCTATCGATCTTGGTGTCACGAAGGCTAGACCGCCACTAAATAGTTTGGCGTTAAAGTACCAAAAACGACTACCATAAGGGAAGCTAATTGAATAATTACCATAGTTAATGCCCAGTAAACATGTATATGTGTAGGTGAACGAAGTAAGAAGTCCGTGTCTGTAGTTCCGATGATCTCATTTCGCTCGAAGAAAAATTAGGAGAGGGGGATAAAGTATATTATTTTCCGTTAAATTTTCTACAGAATATTCAATTGTAAATTGTATCAATAAAATGATGTTTCCAGTGAATCGAATTCTGATTCAGAGCGTATAAGGAACGTGCATCGGGTCACGGCGTGCCACGAAAAGCACTTTGTATTTTGGCTTTTCCGCAAGATTCAACCTTGCGCAGCAGGTTTATCGCATTGAATAAAATATAAGGGCGAAAAAGTACGCTCGTTTCGGCGAGAAGAAAGTACGTAACACGGTAAGGAAGATGCAATGTACGATGTATGTATGTATGTAAGTATATGCGAGACGGCTACGTGATCTCATCCACGAGCCGAAGCCCAAGACACAGATAGGATTAGCCGTTTTTCGTGGCCATGTTGGATTCACGACGACCTCTAACGAGTTCAAGCTCACTCTATGCAAATCTCTCGTGAATAAAAGATACGCGAAGCAGTGCAATTCTGAATAGAATTAAAACCATCGGAGCATCTGATAATATGTTGTAGCCGGCTGGTACTGTGTTGTAACCGAGGAAGATTTTTTCGAATGCAACAAATGTAATGATTTATTACTAATGAATCACACGCTGATGTAACCCACAGATTATAAATCTGTAGGAACAGAAGGGAATTTGCACGCAAAAATCTCAATGAAAGTTAATCATTTCGTTTTCGAGGAATCGAAAGAACGATGATTAGTTTCTGTTTAATTTCATGCGGAATACGAGTTGTATGTTCAAACAATGCCCATAACTGCATGTCGTTGTTGCATAAATTTGAGTCAGGATCACCGTGTGCACTTCCGTATGAATCATTCGATGGTAGATATACGTACGTGGACAAACATTTTGTTCAATTAAATGCCTGAACAACATTGATTTCTTTTCTTCAACGCGTAGAGACGAATTTTTCGATGCTTCGTTTCAAAACAATAATAGACAGAAAATATCCGTATAAATTCGTGCGATTTGTTGGAGGTATCGTGACTCGAATATGCGAGAATATTGTTAAAACTGAAGTGAAGGGTCCAAGGGGGAAACAGAGTAAGGGTAAACGAAGGACAAGGTTGAAGACTGGTCGGTGGCATTAAACGAGATAAAATTCATCATTTTGTCCCCGGGAACTACTCGAATCGTGGAGGTGTTTATGGCCGACCTCGCCTTGTCGACATGTCGGTGCAAAGTAACTTACACATCTCAATTTTGTTTGTCGCGTATCTTTATTCGGATAATCGTAACGGTTTACAAGCAAATAATTTTCTTACGATAGATTGAGTTATTTCGAGTCGAATGGTGAATTATTTGATTGGTTTCTGTAAACAACACACGCAACGTTGGCTGTTCGTACGGCGTGGATAATGGCGTCGTCTCTGTCTTCGAAAATGGAGAGACGGTCGTTATTTAAATTGGACCTAGAAAAACCGTAATCGTCGTTCCAAATCGACGTAAACCTCTCGGTCTGAACCAATTTTCCACTGTCCATTCTCGTTATTTTGTTTATACCCCCTTATGTCTTCATTCTGGATGACGAGCGAATAGGTACCAGCTTTCGTTTCACGATCGTCACCTTTATTTCTTGTAATATTAACAAGTTAATAATCTTGTGCAATTCTTCAATTATAATTTTCTCGGATGGAATGATTAAAATCGAACGTAATGAGCGTCGGGATCCGCTTGCTTTGAGATTCGTGATTTGAATTGCAATTAACGCAATCACGTCAGAATTCTCGCTGGAATAAACAGAATTGTGGAACTAGTTCTCGATGAGAGATCAATTTCTAAGATTTATTCTACATCTCGAATAAATAATAATGAACCAGGATAACAGCTTTTTCTACCAAAAGTCACGATTTTAGCCATTAAAAAACTGATCCTTAATCACTTATACTTGAATCGCGTTGCGTAAATCCACAATATGCAAACTTCAGTTGACTTTATTAACAATCCTATTATGTTAAAGAATTGAAAGAATAAATCGTTAGTTGTGCACTTCGTGAGAATGTCGGAGGAGGACGTGCCTCGAATCAAAATTTTCTTATAATGTATTTCTGGCCATTGTTCGGTGTAGGTAACTGAAAATACGATCGATGAGAGAAGTTACGCGTTTCCCGATATATGTAGAATCAATTTAAACAAATAAAAATGATTGATGGTAGACGGTTCACATCCAAAGAACAACGGGAACAACAAGATGTACGTGTTTGAAAGGTTCGTGACGCCATCAAGAATTTTACGCGTCTGATCCACCGTACATCATGTGCTCCACTATGAAAATAAAAATATATCCATCAGCCACGACTCGAAATAACTTTGAACGAAAGATTCGAAAATCTACGAACGGTGTCCGTGATATCGATCGTACATGAAAGTGAATTCTTTTGTTAATGACAGGTCATAAACGGGGTAGTTTACTTATCGCCGTTAGAAACATGGAAATAGCAGCTAATCAACGAAACCGTCGATCACTCTGGTGCAATACACAACTGCGTTTCTCTTCTCGAGCAAAAAAAGCGAATTCCTTCTCATCTGTCGCATCATAAATCGTCGTTTCTTTCATCTTGAAAATGGCCTGCAAGCAGAGTCGTCGCGTTTTACGATCGTTTAGGCTGGAATTCGGACGTCATTGAATTTCAATCGTCAGTCGAGATTTGAATCCCCTCGAGCGTTCGTCAATTCGGATTCGAAGGAACGGTCGATTCTTCGTTTGACCTGATCGAGAGAGAAATCTTCCTTGGTATTAAGAAAATCTCCTTTTTTATTAACATTACTTGAATATATGCTTTTAGTTTCATGAAAAACGACTGAATTTTGAGGTTACCCGTTCAAGGTAACCAACGCCTCAAGGTTCGCTGATCCCCGATTTAATGGCCGCCATTCGCTTCGCGGTGCTCCCCACAATTCCTTCGAAATTCGTCCAATCTGCTCTATTTCCCTAAAATCATTTCAATCTACCGAAGAGGAAAAATTCAAGAACAATTAAACGAAATTGATCATTTGAAATGTGTCGTCAGAAACCGCGGTCTCCTATTCACTCGACGTCCGGTTGTTCCCCTGAATATGGCCCGAATCGGTCAATTCTCTCAAAGAAAACAGAGAAAAAAAAGTGTGGACTAGAAGAAACGTGAGACGGTGCGAGAAAAATACTTTTACTTTCGAAGTGAACACGTTAAGTGGCGAATAAAGGACCAACCGCCATCTATTTGCGTGCTAATAAAAACATAGGTATGTACACCTGATGAAAAAGTTCTCGACCATGTATGTAAGTGTTTGTCCATTCAGGCTTAGAAGAAAGGAAAAACACGTGAGAGGGCCGTCCGATTTGATATGTAAAGTTTTGGCCAATTTTTCGGTCTCTATCCGAATGAAGGCGGACGTGGTCTCTCGACCGGGGAAAAAAAGTTTTCCATCGGCAACCCAGTGAATCATCCCTGGCGGACTGACCTCGGCTAAGCATATTATTCGACAATTTCATTTCCCTTTTTTTTTTTCTTTTTTTTTCATCTTTTTCGTTTTTCCCGTGATCCTGCGTGAAGAGACACGCGTCCCCGTTCAAAGCCGATGATGGTGGGGCGGTCGGTCGTGCTGTTTAAATAGACTGCATGAATGACCGTTTCTTCCAGTTCACATTCAGCTTGTCCGAAGTAATTTCCATCGGAAGAAAATCGTGTGTCCGGTCTGGTGAATTGGAAAAAGACTAACTTCTATAATTCGACATGAACACTATCGCGGTATTACCGTTGGTCCTTCTGGCGGCCGTGTTCTCCGGTACCACGGGAATCGAATTGCGTGAGTATAAGTTCCGTACGATCTATGCCAGGAATTTCCACCATGGACGTAATATTATACGATTAATCGATAAAATTGTTCGGTTGGTTTATTTAAGCAACACGAAGAAATCCAGATGGTTTAAAGATCATTTATTTTATTTAATATATCAATTATCGAATTAGAAATTGATGATTAGACTGCGGATTTTATGCATTTGTTGAATATTCGATCTTTTAACATTTAATATACACTATAAAGTTTCGATAAATTTATCGAGATTTTCCTCGTATTTTTAACCTGCTAGCACCCTCAACAGGGTAAATAAATTTTTCATTACGTTCAGTTTCGTGCATATTGACTGATAAAATATGTTTCTAAACATCCGCCAGTCTATCGATGATAAGTAACGATCTAGGAGAAAAGTTTGTGTAAATTTGAACGATTTATATTAACAAGACAGAATAGATTAACACAATTCCATCTTACACTAATGTTTACTAAATAATCTAGTTGAATGTCAGTTTGAAAGTTCCGAATGATCATCGAAATTTTACGGTTTCGTTCCAATTGATTTGATTGGGCATAATCGGGAAAGCTCGATTCGATAAGTAGACATCCACTTTCAATCTAGTCGAGTTTGCTCTTCAATACAGCATTTTTCTCCATTACCCACGGCCACGAAAAACGAAACGACACAAGGATATACCATCGTTGACCGTGTACACTACGCACGAGCGCGCCGTTAAAGTTTATAACCACCGAGGGTCATATTATCATCACGTTTTTCGTCGATTACCAGTTCAATGTAACCACAAACACCGTGAAAGGAGGCTGCTGGGTTCGTGGTCAAACATATCATTACGCGACCCCTTGAATCCTTTTTTGGCCAAGCAGCGTGATGAACTCGATCGTTTTGTGGCGGCACGCGTGGATGCGACGTGATTGCATTAAGGTCAATGTCAATCGAAGAAACGGGTGTGTCCACGGATGAAAATCGGCATGTAAACTGGAGACGGTGTTTTCCATCGATCGAACGATAAACAGCCATTAGAGACCGCCACGCGTGTGTATAATACGAAAGAGAAAGTCAATACCGAACTTGAGTTCGGCTCTAGCGGTGATTGTCGTTGCACTTTATTGAATCCCCGGTTGTAGACTCGGATTACGTAACAAAAACGCGACCCGTGAAATTTTTCCATTTTTTTTTTTTCTGTTTTTACCAACCTTCTCTGTTTTCGTCTGTTTCAGCGAGCAGCTTCAGGATATGCAAGAGAACGCTGCCGGAACAGGAGTATTACAAGTGCGTCTCCGAATCTGCCAGAGACGCAGTGGTCTCTTTGGCTGGAGGTGAGCCCCGCCATTTTATTTTTCCTGCTTTTTCGGTAACAGTGATTAGACAACATGTAAATATTATATATGTTAGATATTTGCAAATATTAGTTAAACCTGTTATTGAGTTTGTAAATAATTGTATATTCTGTGTATAAGAAACGACAGTTTCAGATTCTATCTGGAAAGGAAATTGGAAACGGCAGGAACTTTTGTGTCAGAAATTATTTGGGCATAGATTTTTTAACGTATCTTTAAGTGGAAATATCTCAACTGCGTAAATACTATAGTATATATGTGTGCGCGTGCGGTTTGGTGCAAGAAGCACCAATGTCAGTATTTATGAAGTTATTGGAGAGGTATTATCAGATATCAGCACTTAAAGATATGTTAAAAAATTTACATAATAATTTCTCACGTAGAAGTTTGTGCTGTTTCAAATTTCCTTTCTAGATAGAATTTTGACGTTGTCGTTTTTTATATGCAGAATATACAATTGCTTACAAACTTAGTACCGGATTTACCTTATTGTTGCAAAAATATGACATGTAAACAAATAATATATAATTATTATATATATGTTCTCGTCAAAAAAAAGAGAAGAAATGACCACTTAAAATATTAGGTAATTCGTCCGCTCATAGCCATTTAGGATACCAATCGAGACAAGAAATAATGGTAGATCCTCTGTTCGTGTTGAATGATCCTGAACAGAGTATAAAACAAAGGTAACAAGCAACAAAAAGTATCCAGTAAAACGAACATTTAAAATTTTCTAGTTGGGAATGAATTATCGTAATTGCCGCGAGACTATAAAGTTAACGGTCGGTGAGTTGTTGTTATTTCCCTCGTTACACGGTTACATAAGTATTTCACCTGACCGAACTCTCGGTCTCTCACGTCAACGTGATTTTCATTGAGAAACGGGAATTTCTTCTCTTTTTACTCGTCCGGCCCGATGCACTATGTATTACGCCGCTCTCTGCTAACCCGTTGACACGCTGCTTTTCGTCTCTATGTAATGTATTATTGAAACACTTCACTTTTCTAATCATTTTTCTAATTTCTTTGTATCTGTCTACACTATGTTGTCTCGATAACAGATCCGTTAAATTACAACGTTCTATTTCTTATATTTTTTTTTCAACGATATTTTACTCCTTTCCGCCATTTTGTCTCAATATGATTCCTTTGGAATTCAAGTTTTTCTTTGGATATGATTCATTTGGAAATCAAGTCAATAATTTCGAATTCTGTACTAGAGGTTTCACTACGTTAATAATAACACATAAATAGCATTAACTTCATTGATACGTTTACTTTATTGCATTTTCCACGTTATCAAACGCTATAAACATCAGCAGTCTACTAATTAATTACCAAAGACGTGTACAACGTATCGTGGACTGTCTATAAATTCCTGAAAGTTATCGGAGATTATATTCAATCACGAAGCTCAGCAAGAAAACATTTGTAATCGCGAATAAATCGAGTCAAGGAGAGGTATAAATAAAGACAATCACTTATTAAATTCCAAATAAATTAGAATGTACCTATATACTCTTAATACAGAAAGTAAATAGAAATAGATACAATAACGTCGAAATTAGAATTTTTCAGCCATTGGTTCTTCGAATAGGATAAGTCCTGTCTGTGTGTGTTTGTATTATTCCGGTTTTCTGTGAACGTTATAATCAGAAATGGGCAAATTCGTTATCCAGATAAAGAGTGTCTAACAACGAATAGGAGAATAAAAAATTACTTCGTTTATTTTTAATCGTTTAAACGTGAAAATTCCAATTTTTATAATAAAGTAATACTTCTTCATGAATGAGTCGACATTTGGAAAGCAATTATTTAATCTCATTTAACTGTTTAAAGCTCAGAATGATGCCCTCAATTACTGCAGCTTTTCACTATGTTTGTATTCGAGTAAAATTGTGGCCAACTCTGGTCGTAGCGCTGTTTCCCGCCCGATTTCACCGGAGCAATGCGTTTCCCCGAAACGGGCATTAGGTTTCACCTGACGATAATCGTTCGCAGCAATTTGCAGAGGTTCTCCTTGACTCGAGACGGCCGCTGTGTGTGTCCCTTCGCTTTCCGAGACTTTGCGACAACTATTATACGCATACGTGCATGCACTATCGCGTGAAATAGCAACGATTTCCTGATACGGAGATCTTGACACGTGTGCACCACCTGCCAGGTGTTTCCTGCATTTTTCCTCCGCCCCCTTAACCCTTTAAATACCCAATGTTATACCAGTTCCACATACATTTTAAAAATGACGCCTTGAAGACGGCTTAAAGGCGTCTCAGACGTAAAATAGCTGTCAAATGGGCGTCTTCAAAGCGTCATGTGCTGTCTGGGATTCTGTCGCTGGTTAAATATTTAACTTTTGTTAAAAAGTATCCATGGTTTCACTGTTGTGAAGTAGATCTCCACGCGTTTTCAGTTGAGAAATTCAAGTATTTCCTTTAGAAATTTTCGACTTCAAAATAACGAAATGCAACATATATATCAGTCTTCTAATTTTAAAATAACTATTTAAGGATCCAGATCCCTAATAGTTCAGGGGTCCAGGGCATTAAAGGGTTAAACATTGACTACAACGTTTTATAATACCTATGTTTGAAAAATCAGAACGTGTCGAATTAACGATTCATTGTTAAATAATCCGACATCGTGGCTCGTACTGATCGATATTTAAAAAATCCTCGACCAAGTTAAGAGTCCCATCGCGTAAGTTTTAACTCGGAATATTGGTTCAGGTCTGAAGAGCTTCAAGATCCTACCGATCGAACCGTTGGCAGTGGACAGCGTGAAGATCGGTGAATCCCAAGGATCGGTCACTTTGAGGCAAGAATATCGGAATATCAAGTTACACGGCCTCACGAAGCAGCTCGAAGTGAAAAATTACCGGTGAGCGAATAATAATGCTTCTGTTTACGAGCTTTTGATCGATGTAATAGAAGATAAATCTTCCATAAGTTATAACATATTTCACATTTAATTCTTAACACAATGAACTTCCTAGGAGGGAAAAGAAATGTTTGTTTTTAATTCTGCTTTTGTAAATTACTGTACAAAATGTTATTTCGTATAAAGATCCGCGGTCTAGTTGTGATAATTCGAGTTATGGGTGGTTGAAAAGAGCGCCTTCACGGATGAAATACAATGTTGTATAATAAGACAATTTGTAAAATACAAATTATGCAATAATTTATGAATTGTGTGGAGTACTTCGCTGGGGCTCTAAAGGATGACAAAGATGGATCGTAAATAAACTAAATTGAATAAGTAAAATGGTTATACACGTTACTTATGTAATCGTTCTGAAAAGAATCTCGTGTGACGCGTTCAGAAATCTTGTTTGTGGTAATTGATCAAGCTCGAGCGGGGAAATCTGTACTCATGAATCGGTAGTATGAATCGAACTAAGAAAAAAAAAGAAATTTGTACTGAGCTCAAGGTGCGTGATAATTATATTGTCTGTGATAAACATTCTGTTTATTTTTAGCATCGACTGGGACAAGTGTTTGTTGACGTCCGAGTCATACAATCCTCAGGTGGACTTTGTCGCCGATTACAGAATCGACGGAAAGATATTGTTGTTACCGGTCAAAGGATCCGGGAAATCGAACATTACTATGTGTAAATATCGTTTCTTTTGTAATTTAAACATACGAATTACATTGTCGTTTATGTAAATTTTAACGTTACTGTCTAACGTTCCAGACGACTTGAAAACACAAAATGAAATACACTGCGAGAAGTACCAGAAAAACGGAGAAACCTACATAAGGGTGACGAAATATGACGTGAAATTCTCCCCTGGTCGAGTAACGTTACGATTTGACAACCTATTCGACGGCGACACTATTCTGGGTAGGCACAATCTAATCTAAGATTAAGTATCCATTAATATAAAAATCAATCGAACGATTCCATAGTGAATCTTACACCACTCATTGATACCTCTTTGTGCTCGATGAAAAAGTAGTTGTACCACTCATGGAAATCACTGACCGTTTATGTACTCATGGTCAAACTCAATGGAAAATGCAGGATACCCGTGGAAAATGTTATTCCATTCATATTATATTGTTTATGGAATTATTCTGAATTATATTTAATTTCTTTTGTATACTATATACAAGAACAGTAGGTAAACAATTAGCCCTACAGGCATTTCGCTAGATGGTGCCTGCATACTAATTAGATGTCTAATTATATACCTAAAAAGGTCGCAACTGATAATTATTTAGGCATAATATAAAATCAGGAAGATTTGACAATTGATCGGATATCATTTGAGATAATATTAAGTCGAACATTGTGCAATTTTTTTAGCCCGATCGACTTTCAAGATTCGTTTGTACCTTCTTTTATTACTCGAATCACATGATTTCCATTTGTTCCTATTCTACTGCGGTATTACAGAAATGTTTTTTTTTCCTTCTTACAGGAGAACAAATGAACCGTTTCATCAATGAGAATTCCGATTTACTGTTCAAAGAGCTTCAAGCACCGTACGAGGAAACGTTCGGTCTAGTCTTCGCAAAAGTGGCAAACGACATATTTATACGTGTTCCATTCAACAAAATCTTTCCACTAACTTAAATCAGAGTAGATCTTCACTGCGTATTTCTAATCCAATAGCACATTATCTTCCGTAACCGAATGAGGACCGAAGTTTTCAACGTGCCAAAACTTTGTATATATGTGCGTGTCTGTATAAGTATTAAACGGTACTGTACAAACTCCTAAACAATATACAATATTGCCATTGTCACCATTATTTAATGCAGATTCTTCTTCTCACGAACTTTTGATCGACGTCTGCGGATCCAATGTGGATATTAATTAACTATTGAATTGTGCTTTTATAATTCGTCGTAGAACTATTAACGTGACACTTCGATCTGTTGAACGAATTTGAATACGGAGAAAGTCATAGCCTACGTAACATGTATGCAACAACATTATTTAAATTACTCCTTGTTGATAAGTTGTTATTAAGATATCTATTGAATATTATAAAACAGATCGTCGTTGGTCTCAAAAGATTGCTGAGGACTTAATACATCGACCCAATACTGCAGAACTCCAGAATTAGTAAAATTATTTATGCCTGTATTAACACACACCCTTATGGAGCGGCAACCCTAACTGTAACATATTTCGATCGCATTAACACCGCCGAACGGGCATCAATTTTCTTTGTCACGCATTAGATTTGAAGTTCAAAGAACGTACATTAGTACTCTTTAGCGGCTGGTAGCCAGTAATTACAAGAACATTGTTAAAATTACAATTGTTAGTAATGGTTCTTATTGAGTATCGTCATGCATACCCCGTTTAGTTCCCTTTGGACAGCCCTTATACCATTACGCAGACAGCTTTCATCTTGACAAAGCATTCGATTTGAAGCTTAAAGAACGTAGATTAATCCCCGTATATTGTTAATAACAATAAACGACCAGAACACTGTTAAAATCGCATTTAATCCTGGAATACCACTATTTTTTTGACCGGTGGCGCCACCCGTGGCGAATCGCTGAAACTGCTAGCCAAATTATACCGACAGGTAAGTGAAAATTTCTGCAATTGGAAAAACGCGAATATCTTAGTAATTAGGCGTTTAAAATGAACGTTGTTGGTACCAAATTATTCCTGTCGACCCAATGCTTTGAGTCAATACCGTAAACACCCATAATTAGAAGAATTATGTATGCATCTGTTATCACATGACCTTACGGAGATAGCAGTAAATACATACATACTACTCCCACACGATTCTACTACATTTACATGATTAAACGAACGCCAATGTTCTGCCTCGAGCACTAGATTAGTAGCTTAAAGAACGTAGATTAATACCTTTTACTGATTGATAAGAAATAATCACACGAACAGTGTGAAAATTACAATTGTTTGTAATGGCTGTTAGTGAGTATCGTCATGCATACCCTGTGTAGTCCACTTTGGACAGCTCTTATACCGTTATGCGGACAGCTATCGTCTTGACCAAGCATTCGATTTGAAGCTTAAAGACCGTAGATTAATCCCCGTATATTGTTAATAACAATAAACGACCAGAACACTGTTAAAATCGCATTTAATCCTGGAATACCACTATTTTTTTGACCGGTGGCGCCACCCGTGGCGAATCGCTGAAACTGCTAGCCAAATTATACCGACAGGTAAGTGAAAATTTCTGCAATTGGAAAAACGCGAATATCTTAGTAATTAGGCGTTTAAAATGAACGTTGTTGGTACCAAATTATTCCTGTCGACCCAATGCTTTGAGTCAATACCGTAAACACCCATAATTATACGAATTATTTCTGTCAGTGTTAACACTGTTGGATAATATAATTTGTCTGATTTTAGGTCCCTGCGATATTAAATCGATGCATTGGGTCGTAGGAAATAATTTGATATTAACAACGTTCATTTTAAACGTCTAATTACGAAGATATTCGCATTTTTCCAATTGTAGAAATTTTCACTTACCTGTCGGTATAATTTGTCGAGCAGTTTCAGCGATTCACCACGGGTGGCGCCACCGGTCAAAAAAATAGTGGTATTCCAGGATTAAATGCGATTTTAACAGTGTTCTGGTCGTTTATTGTTATTAACAATATACGGGTATTAATCTACGTTCTTTAAGCTACAAATCGAATGCTTGGTCAAGACGAATGCTTTCCGCATAACGGTATAAGAGCTGTTCAAAGTGAACTAAACAGATTACGCATGACGATACTCACTGACAACCATTACAAACAAGTGCGATTTTAACACTGTTCATGTGATTATTGCTTATCAATCGGTAAAGGGTATTAATCTACGTTCTTTAAGCTTCAGATCGAATGCTTGGTCAAGACGATAGCCGTCCGCATAACGGTATAAGAGCTGTCCAAAGTGGACTACACAGGGTATGCATGACGATACTCACTAACAGCCATTACAAACAATTGTGATTTTCACACTGTTCGTGTGATTATTTCTTATCAATCAGTAAAGGGTATTAATCTACGTTCTTTAAGCTACAAATCTAGTGCTCGAGGCAGAACATTGGCGTTCGTTTAATCATGTAAATGTGGTAGAATCGCGTGGGAGTAGTATGTATGTATTTACTGCTATCTCCTTAAGGTCATGTGATAACAGATGCATACATAATTCTTCTAATTATGGGTGTTTGCGGTATTGTCTCGATGTATTGGGTCGACAGGAATAATTTGATACCAACCACGTTCATTTTAAACGCCTAATTACTAAGATATTCGCGTTTTTCCAATTGCAGAAATTTTCACTTACCTGTCGGTATAATTTGGCTAGCAGTTTCAGCGATTCACCACGGGTGGCGCCACCGGTCAAAAAAATAGTGGTATTCCGCAATTAAATGCGATTTTAACAGTGTTCTGGTCGTTTATTGTTATTAACAATATGCTGGGTTTAATCTACATTTTTTAAGCTTTAAATTAAATGCTTGGTCAAGACGAATGCTGTCCATATAAAACCGTGAGACCTGTCCAAATATGACGTACAGAACTTTCGAGCGACTGCACCTTTCGCCCGCTTGGGTTATTGATGAAATTAAGTTGCATCGCTTGATGCTCGAGATTCAATATATTTTCAAAATTCCACCTCCCTGACCATTTGACTTCAAACACCTTAAAAGTAATAATCGAAACTGCAAGCGGAACACCCACCATCTGCAAGTTTGATCCCACGGAGGGAAGGAATTCTTTTAAACCATTCTAGCTAGGCAGCGGGAAATAGTTGAACGTTAAGAAATCTGGGCAAAATAACCGATCAGTCAGCGTTTAACAGAGTAACACAAGTGTGTAATATACGTGAAACACAGGAACAACATCTGAACAGTTCAAAATGACAATTATTAAGGCTTATAATCACACGCAGTCGTAAACACTATCATAAAGAAATTAGTCCAAACTTCCTGTTCAGTGAACACATCAAGATCTAATGGAAGTAAAAGTATTTAGAAGTAATTGAAATTTTTTCGTGTGTATCATAATACAACTAACAATATCTCCATACATTCAGAAGACTCATCGAGATCAGAAGACTCTCCTAATATGGAAGACAATGTTAATGTAAAAAGTGACTACCCTGATTTACGATTCCAGTGAGAAAACAGCCATGTTCATTACCACAACTCTGATGGCAGCTAGGTCCTTAACTTCTGCGCTAATGGCAAACGACTAGTAAATCGCTATTTCATTCTGTGTACACACAACAATTATATATTTTAATATATTCGATCTGGATAAACTCTAAGTCGCAGAGACTGTGTAAAAGTTAGAAGAAATAACATACGTATATGTAGTCTGTGTAACACGAGATTTTCAGGTGCTAAGTGGTAAATATCCACAGGTAGAAACATATCGACTACAAGTGTTCTTTCAATTGATTTGTAAGTTACGTTCATCCTAAAAAGCTATCATAGATGTTGCAATCTCTAAAACGTCTTATTCTCAGAAGTACGGGTCGGATCAATACCTCTCAGCACCTGCAACCTTTTATATGGTCGTCTTTCAGAGTTCCCTTAACGTTAACACACGTATAAAAGTTAGAAGACATCACGTGCATCATTCTTGATTGTATATCTATATCGAATTCGTACTTAATATATTTATACATATATCTGTATAATTCATTTCAAACTTGGCAAGAATGCAAGAGGGATCACCAGTATTCAGTGTATCGAAAGTACAAACAGGTGTTGCGCGGAAGGCAAAAGAATCGCACAAAGTTTGATTGTTTTTCTCAGTACGTTACTTACGACTAGGTATATGAACTTTGGTTAGACACAATAACAGCATCAAAAATACATTAAGTATAGACGAGAATCACCGAACCCTGCCTCGAATCATAGCCACTGTATCATAATCTTTGACGAGTGAAGAGAGACTGATGCACATGTCTATTGAACACGTTTTGCGCCCGATAGTAATAGGTAAATCGCATTATCGCGTACAATGAAAGGCAACATGCGTCGAGGATAGTCCAGCATCCAGGGAAGCGACAATGGAAGACGACGGTAATGTGCGTGGATACGTGAAACAACATTTTCACAGTACAAATACTTGCGTGGATGTGAAGTATACAAGACAATACGTCAGCTTCGTTCGCAAACAAAGCTGGAATTTCCGTAGGCATAGGATGAAACATTGAATATCCATAAACATGATTCGTAGCCTGGTTCTGAAGACCTTAAACGAGAGAAAACTTATTTAGGGATACCCAACGTTTCGTTATACATATACATACGTGCGTATCCTTTTGACCATTTCTAACTCTAGAAGATTCAAGTACAAGATTCGTCAGTCGATTGCCGTCAGCTGAATAAAACGCGAGCTACCGAGTTTCATCGAAACTTCGGAAACAGCGATTTATTCAGCTACGTGTAAGGACAATGTCAGCAATAACAAGAAGTACTGGGAGGCGCTGTGTCGCGCTCATGACACCGTAAGACCCTCTGGTGTGGCAGCAACGATTTGTCCACGGTGGTCTCCATTCTGCGCATCACCCGATCCAAAAGTATCTCTACAGCACGTACCACGTTCTGTCCGGTTGCTGCGCTCGTTTCCAAGTAGACCAAGCTACGAAATACAATCCATTCAGATCCTTTGACCGATCACGATTTTGGTTATACGATTAGAGGCTCTAATGTCCTTTTTTGGAGAAGTGTTCTGACGAATCATTAAGTTATCTGACCCCAGAAGATCATTTTCTCAAGCAGAATTTCGGTAGTCATGATTCGTATCTTCGTAGAATGTTGACTTCCATAGCTACTGCGGCGGGAAGTGTTTGCGGTGTACATAGGAAAGACAAGAGATGGGACTAAGATAGCCTAAGGTGTGATTAGAATGGATTTTCAGTAACCTAGTGCAACCAATTGATCTTGTTCCAACTATGTGGAATCAGAACACTTCTTCAAAGGGGCAAGCCTGGTGTGGGCTGTGTCATTTACCCATGCTTCTCTGCTAATTCCCGGGCTTTTTCTTCGCCAATAACCCGTTTGTCTTCGAGATCAGATTTATTTCCACAGAGAATTATGTCCGGATCTTCGCAGTATGCGTGAGTCTATTATACGTGCACAGATACATTCAATGTCATTTTGATAACGACTTTTTGTTTTTACAATTATTCGATCGAACGACAATTTGAGCTAGAGAAATAACAGTAAGAACCATTTGTTCGGTAAATAATTCAATAGATTTTTGTTTATTTATTCTTTTGACGAAATACGTTCATTACACTTGAAAATATAATGAGAATGTAGTCACATTTATAATTTTTTTTATTTATTGAATACAGAATGTACTGTTTGTTTACATAGAATGTGACATTTATAAAGACTGTGTATGATTTTATATGATAGTCGAACTGAGAATGGTTATAATCCCAAATATCAACAATCTACAGATCCAAACTACACTCTAAAGTTATACCATGCTCATGCACAAAACAGAAACCATATTATATACACTGTTAGTACTTAAATGAGATTTTATCTTCTACTATTATGTTAACTTAAATGATCGTTCGATACAGCTATTTCTACAGTACATACTACAATATTAATAAATGATTAGTACCCTAAGTTGTTCCAGCCAATTTCTTACTTCAAGGAATGAGAGCTCATTGGTCAGATCGAAAATTAAAAGAAATCCCATGGAATCCCGGTAAAAGGCAGTTGTTAAACTTCTGAACCTGAATATTAATAGCATCAAAGCAATTGTATGTAGTAATATTAATCGGCCCTATCATTATTTTTGTTAGGGCTAATGATACCAGCTTTCAAGAATACCGAATACTTTGTGCATATTATTCTACACAATACTACTTAATTTTTGTTGATAATAATTGAAATGTTAGAAGCATATGATTAACAACATGTGGTGTTAAAAGTATCAATGTTGTATGACCTTATGTGACTAGTGATATGAAAATCATTACCTCTCTTGGCCAGCTGTGTCCCACAGCTGTAAATGCACACGTTGAGTTCTACCATTTGCTGTTTGGTACATCTGCAAGAGGTAATGACCCTAGCTTATACGTAGCAACATATGTGCTCCTTTAAGTCATTTACATACATACACATACTCTTACAAATATATCTGTATACTTACATAAATTACACCCATATTAGTTATAAATAACAAATACATAAAAAAAAACCACGTTATAACTTACCACCCTTTTTTCTTTAAAATCAATGCCAACTGTAGACATGAAGCGAGAATCAAACGTGCCATCGGTATATTGATAGAGGAAACTCGTCTTGCCAACTCCGGAATTCCCAAGAGCCAAGAATTTAATTAAATAATCGTATTCCATTTTCAGAAATCGATAATTCACGCAAGTAATTCAAACTATCGGGAAATCTCATCGAAATTTGAACATCCACTGAATATATTGAGGAACTTTTTAAACATGTTTTAAAATACGGTCCTTTTTTGTAAAGCGTTTATGTAGTTTCCTTGTTTAAATACAAGACAGTAAGACACATGGGTGACATTAGACACCTGTTGCCTACGTATACAATTTTCAAAAGATTCGCGCGTCTCAAGATGAAATATCCTGTATATAACACAGCCTATTGTCGTTAAGTGAAATACCTCTATAATTGAAAATATAATGCAACACACGTTTTAAAATCAACACACCGTTCCAAATTCACGTACTACAAGGCTACACGGAACTTCGTTCACAGTGACATGTAACAGGTGCGCATGCAAGGACGCCACGGACAGCGGTGGCTCATATCAGAACCACAAATATACTATATCAATTGGAAGTGGTTTTACGTGACAAAAAAAGTCTGCGCGTTAAAGGAGAAATTACATATAGAACGCTGCAAATAAGCTGATCTTTGTGAATTTATTACACCAAAAATATTATATATGTATGTACATGGTATGTAAGGCAATTGTTGTTACATTTATACAAATACCATTGTAAATTATATATTTTTTTACTATTCTTTCACTAAAAACATTCAAATCATACACATAAGTTATTCATTCATCCCAGCACTATCTTCACTCCTATTTCTAATGTCAATTTACCAAAAAAATAATAAACAATAAATAATACCAAAATAATAACACCGACTAGGTGTAGGAGGATAGACCTATCATCTTATGGGACTTCGTGTCTAATTTTCTGAAATACCGATAGTGTAAAAAGTCAGGGATTTTCTGCTGCCCTCTACGTTATGAGAACGGTGAATTTGTGAACTACGTTAAATCTAAGAAGGGACCATGGTCGTGAACGGATTCTCATACCGCTCTCGCTCGCACGCCGTGACGTTCCCGATTCCCGGAATCCCGCGGCTACGAGATGGCTCATTACGGGAAACTGTAAAATCAGCATAATCGCGTCACTTGGCGAAGACTTTCAAAACTACATGAAGAAATTCTAGATTTAGTTCCAATTTCCATCAATAGGTAAACTAAAACAGGTAGATTCCTACTATTATGCCAGAATTGGCCGTTTGGTGCAGCACTTCCCGGGAACAACGAATTCCCGGCGTGAGCATCGTGAGGTGAGCACGGTGAGCACTCTCATTTCCTCCAATTTCCTCCTTGATAGGACCAGATAGGACCAAGAGGACTTCAAATTAATGTTAAAAGTGTGTAAATGCTTTTTAATAGTTTTATTATGGGAGAAGTTGTTAAATTGCCTAAACAACCATAAGAAAACATTTTGAGTACATACTCATTATTAACATGAATTTTTGAATATACAGGATGACTTGGAAAGTAACTGTGTCCTTTCATAAGAGAGATCATAAGAGAGATCATAAGATACAAACATTATCTCCAATACTGATAATTCCATCTTCTTTAGATTCTTTTGTTAAATAAATGCCAAACCTTAATTTTCCATGAAATTGTTCAGCAAGTGTGCGTAACGGTTCTACAGTTTTTATCCCTGTGGTTTGATCAATACATATCATCTGACACCGCGTACATGGTCCTGTTACCTAAATTAGTTAGAACAAGTTGTTGATAACAAACAGCTATATAATTTGTATTCGAATCAGTTTACTACGTACCACAAAATTATGTTTTCCAATACAAATATTTTTCCATTGTGCTTCCTCAAAAGCTTCACAGCCACTTAATATCATATTTCCTCTAAATCTATGTATAATTGTATCTTTCTGAACTTCTGTGTCACTGATTTTTTCACTCAACCATGATACACTTGCTCTGTTTATTAACAGATATTGAGCTTGCATAGAAAATGATAGTTCTGGCTTGTTATCTGTTCAAAGGAACTTCAGTTAAATCAAATTAGAACATGTATAATTTATATGATTTTCATTATACCTTTCTTTTTTGTCTCACAGTTACTTTGCCTTAAAAGCTTTAAATTTGGTAATCCTAATGCTAAACTTAACCATTCAGAAACATCTGAACCACAGTCAACACCCTCTACTTTGTGTCCACAAATTCTACTTTGGCATATTGTTCCTTCTACAGTATTTACAGGTGTATTATCTAACGGAACACTTATTACAGGCATTCCTAAAATATTTTACAATTGTTAAATGGAATAATAAGAAACAATATTTGCAATGATTAGATTTTTTACCTGGATAACTTAATTGCATAACCCTTTTTTCTGTAAATATAACTGGCTTCAGTAAACATAAATTGATATGTTGCTTTTGTGTTAAACAAGTACCAGAGGATCTAATGATCATCCATTCTCTATCATACTCTAAACCTTTAGAGTTTAAACTCCAGGAACCTATTATTTTATATGCAGCACATGATTTAATTGGAAATATGTACAATTGTTCTAAGATACACTTCTTCTTAGTTGCCATATTGTCTGATATCAGATTGAAAAATTGACTGTCATTGATAATATAATTCGCTGAATCTTTGATACTTTTCAATTGATTGGTGATTCCATTACTATTATTGTTTTGTATGCTATGTGTGTTTTGTATTCCATTTATATTATGTCGAATATATTTTGTGTGTAATGTTATTCTGTTATTCGGCCACCAGTCAGGAACTTTAATTATTTGTGGTCCATCTACAAAACATTCTATAATCATACCTAACAGAGTCTGTACGTCTTTAAATGTAGACATGTATCCAAATGAAACTCTTACAGCTCCTGTTGGTCTGCCATTTATTAAGTCTGTGGATCCTCCACAAACATATCCTGCATCATAGTTCCGAAGAACTTCCTCGTTTGATAATCCTAAATGTCTTTGACATGCACCAGGATTGCATAAACAACCAGTTCTAAGATGAATTTTAAATAGAGCTGCCATATTTAAAACTTCCATATAGCCTACATATTCACTGTTAGAACGTATAATACTAAATGTAACAATGCCTCCCTGAAAGTCACAACTGTCATAAGCTGTATCGAAGTATAGTTTTACAACTGGCTTTCCATTACTGTGATGTAATGTTAACAAGGAGTTATGTACAAATTGTGCAAGTGAAAATACATGTTGTGAAATCTTCTGCATGGTAATGGATGATAGTATATCAAAACCATGTCTTAGTGATGCTATAGAGAGAAATGGTACAGTGCCATCTTCAAACCTGGAAACATATGGAGTTAAATAAGAAATCAGTATTGTTATGAACAACTTGAGTTTGTACCTTTGATGTAGGCTTTGACGCTTGATATGAAACATTTCAGAACTCAGTGAAACATCTACAGTACCACCGCCATAATAGATCTTGTGCAGTACATTTGCACTAGTATTCTTGACTAATAATGCACCAATTCCAGTAGGATATCCAAACATTTTATAAAAAGACAGACACACAAAGTCTGGCTTGTATTTGGACAAGTCTAAGTCATTTGTTGACACAAACGCAGCAGCATCAAGCAGGACATACCACTTAGTAGATGTGTCAGAAGTTATACCTGATAGAATTCCATTATGTACATCACTAATCCATTCTAAAGGATACTTTAACCCCGAAAAATTACACTGAGCAGGATACACAAAAAGTGAGTTGCTTTTTTGTTCTGAACAGGTCAGTGGGGACATGGGAGAATGAAAAATTTCGAAAGTTTCATTGTGCCTCAAGCAAGTTACTTTTGCTCCTTTTGCAGTAACAACTTCTCTCATACCAAGAACTGATGTGTGATTGTCTTGTGTATAAACAAAATGTGCTGTCTGTAACATTGTACTATTTGTCATCTCTGTATTAAACAGGAATGCATCAGCTACAATCTTCAGGGATGCAGTTGCACCTGATGTAAATATGACAGTATAATCTTCAGAAGATGTATGAAAATGATTTAAGATCCTGCAAGAAGGAACACTTATTGGTATACTTGTGTATCAATATGTACATAATTTATGCTGATGGATGTCTTACAGATATCTCATCTGTTCAATGATATCTTGTGTTAAATTGCTTGCAGTCCCAACAGAGTGTGGATTAGCATAAAGTGAATTATGCAAATCAGCAGCAACATTTTTTATTTGTGTGTCTGAATATAAAGTAGATCCGGCATGATCCAAATAACATTCCTCTGAAAAATAACCGGGTATTAAAGACTCATTCTTCGTATTCCCGCATTCTTTAAGTCTAGTACTTTTCCACTTTAAAACAGCAGAATGTACATTAAGTACCATATTATTCGCTCTATACTTACCTTTAATTCGTGAAAAATTATTTTGGAGAGTTTTCGCTGTTTCGTCGTCGTATACTGACGTATACGACGCTGTTATATTTATGATATTTTCCATGCCAATAAAAGACGTATGAAATAACGAATGCGTTTCTTATGATATCTATATCATGACTGTACATCGAATGAAATACTCGTACTGCGGGAGCAGCGTTAACGTGATTACCTAATAGGAATAGGTAGTATTCTTCGTTTCCGTGGCTTCCCAGAGTCTCTATGAAGAATCTAATTCACGTAATTACAAACAGACTCTTCTGTCATGCGTCTTCAGTACTAAATATATCTGTATTTAGCTACCAGCGACGACCAACGGCTTACAACACCTTCTTCAACGTACATACATAAATATCGTTTACAGAACGTAGGAAAAGATACATACGAATAAGGCTTTCGATAGAAAAATAAATACACGAGATAATATACATGATAGAAAAATAAACTGTTAGTTAAATAAATTTATAAACTGATACATATGTTCAGAATATTTGTAACAGGTTCTGAGTCAAACTTAAAGAAATCGTAACCTGAGTCTCGTTTTTTTTAAGGCGGCACGGTCATTTTCCGTAAAAATAAAAGAATTCAATAAGTGCAATATAATGCACTATAATTGCATTATCAAACGATAACAGAATCTATGGATGATTCCACACATACACAAGCTCGTGCAATTCGATTACGTAACATATCCACACGTAGAGTGCACTAAAATGAATGCAACATATGCACAAATGTACACAGCGATCTACTGAAATAATAGGAAACAGAATTGTTTGCGAATAAACAGAAAGCGAAAGGGATTTTATTGCGAAAATTGGAAATTTTTCCCATTATCATAAACTTTTAGAGAATACTTTCATACCTGACGAGGTGGCCGAGTGGTTAAGGCGTTGGACTGCTAATCCAATGTGCTCTGCACGCGTGGGTTCGAATCCCATCCTCGTCGACTTTTCTGTTTTTGTATTTTTTCTTTTATTTTATTAAACCATTCGACTACTATAATTCTTGTTCATAATTGGTTATAATATTTTTGTAAGGAAACAAAATAATATTCTCCTCAAATATAAGTGATGCAGTTGCATAAGCACATGCAACTTGCGTTTAGTTTTATCAGAGATGAACGTGAATTTATAACAGTATGATGAGTTCACATAAATTTTCTTCCAATTGGTGGCATTAAAAAGTTCATGAAGTTGTGATGAGGAAAAATGGAGGTTATAAAAAAGATACTAAGGGAAACATGACCATGACATTATACAGAAGATGAATATTGAAGATGTAGAATGAATAAATTATCGGAAATCATAAATGTACCGGAAGAATAATGCGAAATACTTCCGAGACAAAGAGACCTTCGATACCAGACACATGGGGGAGTGAAAATGCATCACCCACGAGGTCCTACGTATTGATTGACGATGATGAGTCGATTGTGTTTCAACCGAAACAATTATCGAGTAAGTTACAGTAGATCTTAGGTTTTGAGAACATGATGCTTTAAAAACACAAATACAAACGACATGTACTTTATGTCTACATAGAACATAACGTGTCGCTGTGTTGTTCGAAAGATTTCTCCCCGACAGAAGAGTACTTCCAGATGATGGAGCGTCTCATTAAAAGCAAATCCTTGCCTCGTCACGAAACGTTGATACTAAAAAACCTTTATGTTAAATATAAGTCCATTATCAATCACGGTTCAACGACCGGGATCAATAGAGTAAGTTTAGCTACAAAGCAAAACTACTCGCAGGAATTCTATACAATCGGATAAAAAGGTGCGAAGACGTTATTCCAGGCCAGCAGAGACCCAAGTGCTGATCAGAAAGCTTTTTATCTTAAGAAACAACAGCCATCGTCGTCCAAAGACAGCGAAACTTTGTCGTTAAAATCGAGAGACTCCAACGAAATGCATCAAAGACACCGTTCACGAGAAAAAATCGATCAAGTTGATCAGCGTGAAATGGAACTAGCATCTGTAGAAGACTTCAGTTTTGACCATTTCTGCGATCCAGACATGTTCATAATTGACAATGTCTTTAGTGATTTTTCGTTGCAAAACGCGAACCAGCAATCAATATTGCAGAGAAACATCAGTACGTGGGCCAAGACACGCAAGACGCAAACATCTAGGATTGCTACAATAAGTGGGAATAGGCAAAGTGTCGGCACCAACGTGGTAAATCAGCCTAATCAAAATGTTGAACAAGTAACCGAGGCACCCAGGCAGAGTCCATTGAGAAAAGTGAGCACAATCGAGGATTTCCTTTTCAATTATTAAGGAGACCTGTTCAGTGTTTCTTTTCTCTTCTCTATTTTTAGATACTGAAATATATCAAATCAGACAAACGAAACGAAACAACGGACAAGTAGAAAGTGTCTTTTCCTATCAAAGACTAGCTTGCACACGATTTGAATCGGTATACGTATACTCGATGTTGCGCCACTGATTGCTTCAGGGTTGCTGAGGTCACACCTACGGGTTCCTGTACGAACTATCCGCCCCAGGCAGGACATCGCGACAGCTAATTTTGTCTAAGAAAGTAACCAGATCACCAATACACAGGCAGGTGTTACGTGAAACCGGTGCACAACATATTTGGCTTTATATGTCAGTGCCACAAATCGGAGAAAGTGCGTCCTTGACTGGTTTTACAATATCACGGCCTGGCATTGGTATATGTATCAGGTTACATAAACGAAGGGAAGGACACGACATAAGAAAAAAAAGGATTTTACGTATGACGTGGTAACGTTCCCTTTCGCGATCCAGGATAAGCTAAGTTAAAACTGGTTGACGTGCACACGGTGACTCGACTTGATGATTACATGACGATGATATTTTTAAATAAAAGTTTGAAGTATATTAGCCCTAAACATTCTCTGTTAACGTTGTTTGTACACGTTGAGTGTTCCGTAGTAACCACTTAAAATGCATTGGTAGTTAATATGACTCGAAAATTCATGTATGCGAAGATTAAGTTGAATATTTATGCGATACGATAATTCACGAGCAACATTATGCAAACAAAAGGGTTATCAATTCCAAACAGTCTATATTCTAACTCGTATACAGATATGTTATATGTCTAAGAAAATACTTATCTCTGCAAGTTTGAAGTTCCGGGTCGAAGAGAGAATGGCTTATTATAACTTACACGTTAATGACGTCCTAATGTAGAATGGGTTATCTGTTATGCGTACCCTGTCGAACCGGCGATTTTAATTGCCCCGGGGACCACGCCTGAAATTCGTCCATGTCCCCTTTAGCCCGACTATCCTTCTCCACCTTCACACTTTCTATCCTCCTTCCTGAATGGTTCTACAACACAAAAAGGTCCCGCGGTACAGTTTCCCTCTCCCCTGATCGGGCATGTCCAATCGCATTGAGAGCAGTGGCACCCAAAATTCGATTGATCCCCCTGCAGTCTTGCCTGCATATAAATACTGGCCCAGGTCCCAGATTTTGTCAGAGCCCAGCAACTCTTTCGAGGAAAAACAAAATGGCATTCAAGGTAAGCTTCTACGTGAAACGCGTTACACCTTCAGGGTTACGCTTACTCAGCAGAAAGAACAAAGGTATTTTGATACCGTGTAACAAGGAAGAAATGAAACGTTAAATTACCTAAGTAACATTAAGAGTCATTGATAAAACTTTTAACGATTCTACTTATTTGTTTACTTTAAACGATTTCCTTCTGAAGTTTTTTTGGTCTATCAGGGACTACCTGGTACAATATAAAAATTTCCTTTATTTCGCAGTTCGTAGCATTCGCAGCCTGTTTGGCAGTAGCCCGCGCTAGTGGCCCGGCGGCATATGACATCGCAGCGGCGTCCGGCGATCTCGGGAGCATCGGTTTCAGTCAGGAATCGACTCAGAAGGGCTACGGGGGTCAAAACGTGATCTCCTCCTACTCGAGAGCCGAAGACAGCGCTCACTCCTCCGTCCGTGTGAGCAGCCACAGTGTTAGCAACGACGCTTTGTTGAACTACAATCTACACCACGCTCCGATCGTGAAGACCGCCATCGCTGGTCCTGCCTACATCACACCGACCGCTACTCCTCTCATCGCCAAGACATACGGTGCCCAATATAGTTACGCTGCCGCTGCGCCTCTTATCGCCAAGACTTATACTGCCCCGTACAGTTACGCTGCTGCTGCGCCTCTCATTAAGACTTATGCCGCCCCTGCTGCACCACTGTACGCCAAGGCCTACGCTGCTGCCCCTATTTCTCCCCTGTTGACCAAGACCATTGCCGCTCCAGCACCCCTCCTTACCAAAACCTACGCTGCCCCGGCTACACCTCTCTTGACCAAGTCCTACATTGAATCATCTCCCCTTCTGACCAAATCCTACATCACATCTGGTGCTCCCCTCTTAGCCAAGAGCTACGAATACGCCGCCCATGCCCCAGTCATCACCAAGAGCTACGAATACGCCGCCCATACACCAGTCATCACCAAGAGCTACGAATACGCCGCCCATGCCCCAGTCATCACCAAGAGCTACGAATACGCCGCCCATGCTCCAGTCATCGCCAAAAGTGCTCTGCTCGCCCCTGCTCAAGGATACGCCGCTCCAATTTTCGCTAAGTCTGGGCCCATCTACGACTACGCTCCCCAAAGTCACTTCATCTCGAAAACCCTCGAGCCCGCGTCTCCCTTGGTGCACACCGTGTTCAACGGTCTTGGAACCAGTTACGCTTGGTAAATTTTGTACTTCTATATAGATCCTTTCGTTCGGTGTCTTTTTGAAGTTTCCGATCTTTAATTTCCTTCAGCCGCTGGAACCTCACTCGATTAGTCGCGTTCTGAACCGTTTTTTAGCCAATCTGATTTAAATATTCATTTGATGTCCTCTTGGAATTTCTAAAAGAAGGCTCGTGGAAGTTACGCTTTCAGTGAAGGTTCGTTTTTACGAGAAGTTCGATGCACCTGACTGAAAAGCGCAATATCTGCTGAAAACACGGTAATACAAAAGGGTTATTGCAATAAGTTTAACCGATTTGTGTAGAAAAAACTTCCGAGTACTTCACTTAGAACTACCCAATTGTATTGTATATGTATAAATTATGCGTGAAAGTAGATGTAGATACACACGTGTATAGCTAATAGGTAACTGTTGCGTGTACTTTCGTACATACATGGAACAAATTCGCTATTCCCACTTCCCCGAAAAATGCAGCCCATGACAATGTTATACCTGAACCTGAACAATGACAAATAAATATTAATTTTTTACTTAATTACAACTTGATTTTATAGTCTCCCGTTACTACATTGTTTCTTTAAATAGGAAAGTTGTAATACTTTTAATTGAATTACAATTAAATGTAATACATTCATTTATTTTCTGATAAAATTCTCCTCGTTTAAACACCACCTTCGAAACATTCTCTACAGATAACAAGATGGAGGACATTTCCCTAAAGAAGAAGAGAAACGGTATTTTCTTGTAAGTAAAATTTCAACAGAAAATGACAACAAAAGACTGTCTTTTATGAATCTAGACTCATGAATAACAATGGAAATAGCGTAACACAATCATTGACGTGTTTAAACTTCGTTATGATTCATGAGAAGACTTTCGTCCGTGCAGTAATTGTGTGGAGTCTCTATTTTTGAGGCCAGCAGGATAATTTGCATACAATGTACGATCGAGGATTGACAATCAATTCCCACGAAATCTGGGATAAATTCAATACAGCTAACATTCATGGAATAAGCAGCCTTTAGCATTCAAACATTTGTTCCTTGTGCTCCTTGTGCTGTAGTTAGCTGTCGAATCTACTTAATCTTACTTAACCCTAAACAACCCAGTAGTGCTCAACGGATACATTTTCACTTTGATTTAGATACAGAATCAAACGTACTGGGTTGTTAAGAGTTAAACAGCCCCTCGTGATAGACATACTCTTTTCACTTTTAATTATCAAAAAGAATTTATACGTAATTTCTTACTTCATAAGTTCAACGAAAAGAACAAATTCTACCGCCATCATGGACTATCTCAATCTGGGGATTTATTTTCGCATAGGGGAAAAGTACTGCGTAGTGCTTAACCTGATAAACATGTTTGCGTACAGATGTGTTCGTGTGTGTTTAATCGAATAAGTCGATGATTGTTTTCGAACGGCACGTGGTAACTTAGAATCATCAAAATGACAAAAATCAGAAAAGTAAAACGCAAAAAGAAGTTCCGTATGAACGTAAACCGTAAAAGACTAAGAAATAAGTTAAGGAAATTACCAACTATCGGCTGGTACGTATTACAACTAAAGAGAATTATATCTTAACATTATTTTTAATTAATATGTATTTCCTGATTACAGTCCTCAAATAAAACAATCATGGGAAGTGACTATGTCCACACGAACCAACTTGAAACAAATGGGACTGGCATATGATCCAAACCAAGTGTTAAAAATTCCAAATGCCAAAAGAGAGCTCATTGAGGATGTGAAACGTAAAATTGTAGATCCTGAAAGTATAACAGAACAAGAGGAAGATGTAGACATGATACCTGCCAAAAGTCATGTAGTTGAAGAACTAGAAGCTGAGGCCAAAGCTCCAAGAAGAAAAATGTTCAGACTGCCAAAGAGTCAAGTACATTTCCTTACAAATTTAATAGATAAATATGGAGAAGATTTTAAGGTAAAGTTTATTGTTTAAAGTAATTTATTTTATAATCAACGAAAATGTTTCTTATTTTTATCTCATTCACATAGGCTATGGCACGGGATAAGAAGAATTATTACCAATTGACATGGAAACAGATACGTGCAAAAATTAAAATGTTTAAGGGTATCCCTGAGCAATATAATGAATATCTCCAAAGCAAAAACACTGAGTAATAAATATTTTTAATTGTATTTACTTAAGATCTATTTGAAGTATTTGTTTGTGCATAATAAATTAATCAGTAGTCTTTTCATTTAAGTAATAAATATAATAACTGTGGAAAAAAAAGGTTAAAACACTGTTCTGAAGTAAAAGTAGACATTTTTTATATTACTTATACAGTGCTATACAGTAATAATCATTAAAATAGATCTATTTTTTCATTTGTATCACCTGTAAACATTAACACTTTGTATATTAATTACAAAGTCAGTGTATACTCCACATTGTACATAATTAAAATAAAATATATGACAATGTTTACTGCAACTTTGTAAAATAAATAAATAATTTATTAAATAAATATATATTGAAAAACCAATATAAAAATTACAACAAAGTTAGATGATCATGAATACACTATAATGAGCAATACTAAAAACTTACATACTTTTATTTCTATATTATTTTTTGTAAAGCTTGAATTATTTTTTTTAAATTTCGTAATGGACAAATTGTTCATAATAACGTTAAACCATGAAAAATTGAGTACACTATACCTCATTTGACACAGTGTCTTTTACTTCTTGTTCTTAACCTATTTGTTCTTTTTCATATGTATAAAGTACTTTTTCAACAACTCAAATAAACAATTAAGAAATTCTCTTAAATTTAAGTTGCCATGGAGAATATTTTTTTCCTAACAGTATCCATGGATTCGTGGTGCCATGTATATTCGGTCGTTTCTGTTGGCTTCTCAGGTAGAGGTCTTGTTTGACATCCCACTATTTCTACTTTGTGCTTTTGAGGAGAGATACTTAACAAATCTAGAGCTTTTTTTACTTCTTCTGGCCTCAGAGCATCAGAACAATCCTGATTTCATACATGAATATATTAGGCATTACATACATCATTGCATAATCTCCTTCTTCATTTAAAATTACCTGTTTGTTAGCAATTACTAATATTGGCACATTCTCCATTCTTGCATCATCTAATAACTGTTTAAGAGTAGAAGCAGCCAATGATAATTTCTCTATATCGGATGCATCTACCACAAACACTAGAAGATCTGTGTCTTCTAGAAAAGCAGCCCAATATTTTCTAGCAGTGTCTGCACCTCCAACTAGCAACAAAATCAAATCCATCTTTATCGCTACCTTATAAGAAATTTTGGTCAGTCAAAAGTAAATGAATACATACTGTCCCAAATATTATAACAATACGATCCATTTTTTATTTTATATACAGAAGAACCCTGTGTAGGTTTTGGAGGAACAGTATAAGAATTTTCATCACCATTTGCAACACAAATTTGATTTATAATGGAAGTTTTTCCAGCTCCATCTAAACCCAACAGAACCACTCTTTTTTCATGATAGTCATCAATCTATAAAAACAAAGTGACAGTGACCAATACCAAATTTAGGCTCGATTCCATATTATTAATTCCCTTTCTGATATTTAAGAGTAATGAAAAAAGGTTAAAAATAATGAAGTAAAGCTAAACATGAATGAGTTGAAACTATTCTCATCTAAATTAATCAGACATCATTTTGAGCAAGACTGAAGCTCTAACCTTGGAAACCTCCTCGAAACCTTCGTCTATTATCAGAAGCTCTCGTTTTTTCCAGTATCGGTACGCGATGTAAGTACCGATACAGGCACCGCCGATCCAAAGGAGCTTCTGGCCATGTCGAAATACATTTTGTACCATTATTATTCATAAAAATGACTGCTCAGAGAAACAACGAATGTGGACCACTTTCTCAGGTTCAGTGTCTCGTGTTAGCTCGATGTAGCACAGCATGCGTGAACACTTCACCATGCGACATGTAAATACTGGTAAATACCTCACATGGTTTAAGCAATGTATATGTTATTACAAGTCTCGTAAAGTATATTTAAGGAATAATATTTACGTGAATTGTAACAATTTACAATAAAATCTCTATCAAGAATCCAACTAACGCTTCTTTCCTTTATCAACGTGGTACTACTGATAAGATATAAATGTTGGGAATAAAATCGACTCTTCTATGGTGCCTCTGAATTTATAAGTTTCTCTAATATACAAGATATCTTATTGTTAGATAAAATTATGTACGTTAGTATCCTCATTATATGTTTATTGTTATACTTGTTCGGTGTTTGTCATCATCTTTATATTTCATGGACGGCAAATAATATTGAACTGCGCTGCTTTATTTTTTAAAACAACTGTAGAGACATTAAAATCTTAATAAAATTTCAAACAACGCGCTTAAAATAAATGCAAGCGTCATCTACGGCAAAACGCTCAAGCTGTTAACCAATTAGAATATGCTAGTTTCGTATAGATGACGCCACAATAAATTTTAAGCGTTTCTAGAGTGTCATTTGTGAAGAAATTCGAAACTAACTTGAATATATTTAAATATATATATATATAGAATACTTTAAGTCTAAACATATAATAGAACATTTGGTTACTTCCCCTTCTTAATTTTTCTGACACTCTTCATCAGATTACAAGTTTTTAAAGAAATATTCCAAATAACTCTGGTGCCATTTGAAAATTGGTGGAAAGTATTTATCACAGAGGGCGTTAGGAAAGCACTGCGAGGATTCAAAACCTCGAGGAGAGAGCAGCGAAAACACGAGACATCGGACATTAATATATTTCATCTAAAACGAGTTGGAACAAGAAAGTTTGGAAAATGGTGCAGGGTATGTACGCAGTTGAATTCCTTTATTAATCGTAGAGTATATTGGAATGCGAGTTGTCGACAATCAGTCAACCAGAAGCACAAAATATATATATATAGTTCTGGAATTGCTTACAACCAAGGGACATTTGCAGAAGTCAGTGTTCTTTCATAGTGGAAATAATAAATGTTAAAGAATTATGTAGAAACCGGTAGAAGTATATTTAGCTTATTTTATCGACTCTGTTCACTTACATGAAAATCAGCATTGAAGTTTTATATAACGCTTGCATAGAGTGACACAGTGCGGCGTTTTGCGTGCGTATGTTTTGCTTGGCTACTCGATCAGACCGGCAAAATGGACGATATAGCACTGCGAGCATCTGATCGTGTTTTAGAAGTGATATTTTCTTATTTAGATTTGCACACGTTAAGAAATTGTGCGTTAGTGTGCAAACGTTGGAACCGTTTTTTAAACGACGAGAATAACGAAGCGTGGAGAATACACTGTATTCGTAAGTTGGCTCAGGAGGCTCTTAGCTCCGATATATTGTCATCGGTGCCTACCTATAAATCGAAATTGCGTGCATTTTATCACGCGTGGAACCCCCTCGATTGTTCGAAAAACATTTACATTAAATCCAACGGATTCACTCTGCACAGGTAGAGCTATGGTTCGATTATTAATGTTCGTCAATAAGTGGTGCAAACAAACTTACTGTCATGGGTAATTGGTGCTCAATGACAATGTTGTTTTGAGGGTCATTGCTCTTTAGTAATAAATGCAACTGTTTGTGACTGTGTGACAGGAACCCTATTGCGCAAATCACAGATGCTTGTAGGGGTAAAATTGGTTTCCGGCATGGCAGACATGCCTGGGAAATCATTTGGGAAGGACCTTTGGGCACAGTAGCAGTTATAGGAATAGCAACCAAAGAAGTACCGTTACTGTGTCATGGGTATGTAGCATTATTGGGCTCTGATGAGCATTCATGGGGATGGAATCTAGTGGATAATCATCTGCTACACAATGGTGATGTGCAAGGGAATTATCCGTTGCTTAATAATGCTCCTAGGTATCAGGTGAGATATGCTTATTTAAGAAATGCCTAGAATATGATGGAATATACCTTAAGGTGTTAAAATTTTGTAATTAACAGGCTGGGGAAAGAATTAGGGTAATATTAGATTGTGATGATAACACATTATCTTTTGAAAAAAATTACGAATTTTTGGGAGTGGCATTTAGAGGTATTGTATTTCAATATTTGATACATTTTAGTGTTAAATAAATTAATTGTAGTAAGAGTTTTTTAAGTTAGACAGATTGTATCTTCAATTAAAACATTAACGTCAGAATATTTTAAAATACATCAATATTACTTAAGTATTTTTGTTTCGTTTGTATTTTTGTGGCTCTGGTGCATCTGGTAATGTTAATGATACTATTGTACATGTAGGGTTGCCAGACAAAAGATTATATCCATCTGTATCTGCTGTATATGGAAATACAGAAGTAACTATGGTGTACTTAGGACCACCTCTAGATGGCTAACACTTTACTTCCAGTAGAGACATATCTTCAGAGGCTTGGTCAAGGCTGTTTGGTGAAATGTGAATGCAGAATTCTCTGTATCACACCAATATGTCTACTATGAAATAGAACCAGCACACTGATGAACTGTATGATATTCTTTATGACGGATGTGTGCCTGTTCATTCAGTCAATAGATTGTAAATAGTATTAGTATTCCATTTAACCTGATACATCCATAATAGGGCTTTATACAGTGTTAACAATTGTAAGTTACTTAACACTTGGGACATCAAATAATTTTAGCTGAAGAAGCTCTATATGTTTGGTAACAATATGTATTATTTACACCTCATAATTAGTATCTTGTGAGAATGTTAATATTAGTGAAGGGCAGATAATTATGTGAATGGTTTTGAGTTAGATAATCTTCAACAGAAAAGTTCCTCCGCGATGTAATTTGCGTGTCGCTCAAATGAATACAAGTCAGATTAATTTCAATGTGTTTTCAGTCATGTAGATTTATTTTAATTTAGCTACACATGTACATAGGAATAAGAAATGTCAGGTTCTTTATCTTCCATCGATACTTATATTCTTCTTGTATAAATACATGCTTCATATGTATAAATCATCAGCCAAAGAGATGGCAATTTCAACTTGTTTCCAAAATAGTCACTTACCATGGCATAACAAGTCTGCTATTAATATTCAATACGTTTTTAGTATTCTTATGCTGTTCGCATAACTTCATAGTAATTATAAATGGAATAACTGTGATTCATTGGATTTTATTAGTGTGGATATTTTTTTTTACGTTATCTCTATGTAGGTACTTTGATTATTTCTATCTTTGTTATGGCTGTTAAAAGTATTTCTGAAGAAGGAGGAGATGCTTTTCTTACAAAAATCAATTACGCTTTATTTTTTAATTTATATTAACTATTTATACACGTCGTAGATTATTATCAACCTCCTGATATTAAGAACAGACTTTTAAAATGCCATACAATAGGGCTTAAGTAGCGAAATTGCCGATCCGATCGAGAATAACTAATAATTCGACGAAATAGTATACAGGGTGTTCCACTTAAAGTGTTCATAATTATTCTAGTTTGATTATGTAAAGTAATGTCTTAGTGTAGAAATTTCAGTATGTATAATAATTCTTAGGGTCATTAGTATTTCTTTTTAAGTAGATCTGATGATGAAGGTGCAGATAGATAATGTTAGAAGTGTACCATGTACCTATGGAATTCATCTACACATTATCAAGATTTTGTATTTTTGTCCTGACGTGTGTGGTCCTTTCTGTATGATGTGTTGTTTATATAAAGTATTTGAAAGTGTATCACAGTGTGTGATTTGGCAACCACTATTGCGAGGAATGCACAATGAGTCTCGCATAATCCAAAGGAAACTTTTTGATTCGCTTATACATTTAGTGTCCATAGGAAAGTTTTGCATTGGGTTGAATGTGAAAATTGTAAATCGTGTTCTACAAAGTCTGTACTTATAGATACCATGTCTTAGAAGTTTGCATAACTGGTAATGTACATATGCATCATTACGGTCACTGTGTTTGTTAAGTGTAGTGTTTGTAAGTTACGTTCACTTTCCTAAACTTTTGTACAGAATCGTGTTTGTCAGTCGTGAATGTAGAAGGAGAAAATAAATCTTATTTTGTGTATGTCAAATGACTTCATCATCAATGGTCCATGCATTATGGGTTACGGGTTGATTTAGAATTTATATCCTTTCGGATCGACGATGACACGAATTAAATCTCTATGAAAACTTATGAAGATTACACGTGGAATATAATGGTGCCTTATTATGATTCATTTAATGTAATCTGAAAGTGTCCGTCGCAAACATAGACGTACATGTGAAACAATTATAACTATCAGTGGAAAGTACATCATTTTGTAAATATACGTATTTGAATATGCATATAAGTAATCAAGTAATCGACTGCAAACCTATTCTGTACAAATGTTTGGAGGAAACGTAAATTAGTCAAGGTACGATTAAGCTTGGAACACCGGTATACTTTATATATGCTCGTTCATCAATAATACGAGTGTTTTAAAACCAAGAATTGTACATCGCTCTGTAAATAAATTATTTTATTTTAATGCTTTAATGTTTGCATTGTTGCATACCATGAAGTTCAAGTAAATTATAATATCAGGTAATGAATGAGTAAGATATATGTAATTGGTGTCAAAACTTTTTAATTTGAAACATTTACATGTGAATATTTTGTACAAACACTTTTTCGTTCTTCGTCTTCAACCAATTCTTATATTTAATTTCAAATTTGTACATGACTGCTACTGCCATGACAGCAATGCTTCCCATAACTTACAAAAATATAACAATAGCAATTCATTATACCAGTATACAATCCTCTATTACTGTACAATTTGCATATACATTAATTTTGTATAGGATACATAATTAAGAAAGACTTAAAATCATAATGGTCTAAATTATAATCAATCTAATTGAATCATTTTCTAGGAATCCCAATATCTGATAGTCTAAATACAAGGGGTAGTCTGAAACTTTGTAAAGGACATCTTTTCTTCAAAATAAAATAAGATTATATTTGGCCCAATATGATAACAAATGTTTCATACAGTCAAAATGTTGTTGATGCTTCGTTCAGTGTATTTCACAAGATAATACGATTGCAATTTACAGAGATACAAGTAATGTACATACACACACAGTTCTCTTTGTATATAATGTCCAATGTATGCTAATCTTCTTGCTGTATCTACTATGGAACAGTGGTTTAAAACACTTATATAATACTACATTCCTGATATAGTTCGTCCAGGTCTTGATATGCCTTCAATATGAATTAAGTACCCGGATCGAGAATTTCTTGTTGCACAATTTTGTTTCAATCACTATTATAAAAGATCTTATCGCATTCAATCGAGGTTCCAAGTTACACCTTTTCGAGGCCTTAATATATACTCCACATGGACACTGTCCATTTATAAATGTAATGTAATTACTGTTGGATATTGTTTGAATCTTCTTGCATGGAATTTTATACGAACTAAGGGAAAATCTACGATTTGAATGATACAAAAGCAAGTGTACCCCATAAAACATTTTCAAACACCATGATTGAACTGATCGAATTTCTTAAAGTTGTTTTCATGCAAGAGGATACAAAAGTGAGTTGTGTAAAAAGTGCGCACAATTAAAGCTCAAACATTAACATACTATAATTTACTGGAAATTTAAAACCAATGATTCACTAGCCCTTACTGTTATATTAATCTTAATAGAACGCATTACGTGATCAATTTATCAAATTTTTTTGTTTAAAAAATAATGGTTTATAATTCTTTGGTGGGTATTAATCTAACTGAGAAACTAATAACAAACACAATTAAAACAGCTAAAACTAATCAATCCTATCAATACAATGGATAACAAATCTTTTCCTGTTAGGCCATAGTACTGTAAAATCATTTTACACACATTAAGTAAATAAAAATTCGAAGAAACTAATAAAAAAAGTTAAGCTTTGCTTAAGAAATTTGTTATGGATTAAAATTGGAATTGTAAAACAAGAATGTGTTGAGTACTGTTTAAATGTTGTAGTACATATATCATAAGTACGTATTATATAGTTTCCTTACAGCGTATATTTCAAGGATATTATAAGGAATGCTTGGTCTGAACTCATTTCTTAATTTACATATTACTCTGTTCATTTCTCTCACTTTCATTTACGATTTGGTATAAAAAAATATATTCTGTCGAATGAAATTTCCGACAGTTAGTGTAATTTCTTCCGTTACTTTAGTTGTATATATCAGTTTTTAAAAAATCTATTGTACAATCAAACAGTTACCTGTTGTGTGCACACTGTTGACACAATTCTTGATCTTATAAACTTATCTGTAGTTTATTCGGGATCACATACTGTGCTTGATTTTCATGTTTATAATCAAGTTATATTCTTATAACTAAAAATCATCGCAAATAACAAAATACACTAAAGATATAGAAACACTAAAATATACAAATTTAAAATAAACAAATCATAAATTTGATCTAACTCTATAAGTATCTCTTTAAACTACAACAGGTACTGTAGACTAGTTTTGTGGCCAAATTCACCATCAGTCATAATAGGAAAAGTTTTACGTAATTTATACAGTATTCATTGTACGAATAAAACGTAAATATTAAAATAATCCTAATAAATCGTAACATGTATTAAGTTATTATTGAAAATAGATTTATACGATAAATCGTATTTAAAGAAAGTGATTGCACGCGTGTAACACTATTTAAAATAACATTAAACAAAAAACGGGGTAGACTTCGTAGTCATTAAACAAAAACAGTTAAAAAAAAAGGTGGATTCAATAGCAAAATAACCCATACATATTTCAATTTCCATATTTGTTAGGAATTCGAGTTATGAGACAACCGGTGCCTCGTAAGTTATAAACCTTGTGTGAACGGTACGTGCTACCGTCCACGTGTAGCATTTAACTGAAAGTCATCACATGTTTATTTGCAATGTATAGATAACTAGTTACCATTTCCTCTACAATATTCTGACCAACCGCATCTGAAAATTCAGTGTGAAGAAAATTACGAACGCGTTCGTTCCAGAAAAATTTCGTCACGTACAAGTAGCAACAGTGCAGTTACGGATACCCATAGAAGGACAAAGCAGCTTGCGTTCATTTAATTATTAGGATACAAGACCTTTTCCCTCTAACTTTTGAGTACTCACTTCATTGCAGCAATGTGTCTACAGAGATCACATTGGTATATACATATTAGGGAAAAATGGGTCTAGTTTACACGAGTATGTCCATTCTCTGAGGTACCTGTACTTTCGTATAATTTTCTATTATCTTCATATTTGTTTCTCTTTTTTGGAAGTATACATTCAAGAGCTGGCTTTACTCTTGTTGGTGGAAATTCAGTTAAAAAGAAATTAAAGATATAGCAAAGTAGCTTGCACAGTAAGGGACATAGCAATCCTTGATGAACTACTGTCCATAATCTGTAATTGCTCCCTTCAAACGGATCCAGTACAGCTGGACACAATATGTGGCTAAGATTGACTTGTACAGGCTACAAAGTAAGATAAATATTATGTATAATGAAAGATAGTATTTGACAGAAGATAAGACACTACGGACCAAAGCAATAGCTTGAAGAATCCAGAAGTGGTACGCTAGATTCAGACCATAACTAAAAACTGTCCAGCTCATGTCTGATAAAGGCTCAACGTTGTATACACCTATTATCAAAAATTAAAATATATTTGTGACCTTTGCAGGTACATGAATATGTAAAATGGCTATTATTAGAATTAACTACCTCCAAGCCTTAGCAAATAATAGGGTATTACTACCATTAAGCCATGCTGTATGTAATACAATGCTTTATCTGCAAATATCTGGAAGAATACATGCCATTTCAATATGAACAATTAAAGTAGTTCAGTATTAAAAAGAACATGATAGCTTACTCTTCGAGATTCTGTTTCTGGGAACAAATAAGCTAAGACTGGTCCATTCATAAAGTTTAAGTGTATCCTGAAGAGAGTAGTGACAGTCGGACTAGGAGCAGCTGCTAATAAATATAACTGTATCACAGAAAAAGCCAGAGTTGTAAATAGTCATTGTGTGTCACTTCGAGCGAATTATGTTTATTTATTTTACCTGTACTGCTGTTGTTATGTGACAGGGATTAAACAAATATACAACAGTCCTGCTGGTCAATTTAAAACCTATTTCTATTCCCAATACTAAAGCCATGATAATCAACAACATTCTTCTGCCCACTCTATCATGGTCTATGTATATTTGATTAGGCAATTTCATTCGTTTGTAGCCCCATACAAGAAGCACTATTATCAATATAGATACAAATGATGTTTCGATTATTTTATGTTGTGTACTCAAATAATATGCACATTCTGGACCCACATTACGTGGTATGGAGGCATTAACACCATCATATGCCCATTCAAACATTGTTGGAATTTTGATTGTATAACTGAAATGAAGTAAATTCTTACAGATTGCAGTGAGAAATAATACAGCTTACAATTGCTATCACTTGCAATAATCAATTTTAAAACTTCAACACTTCATGGCTCTTTTGACAGCAATGACAGTTTCTAGTAGACTGATGTTTTCACATTTCATGGCAAAGAACAAGTATAGTATGTTACCGCGTAAAACGAATTTATTTAGTGTTAATTCTAAGAGTTTCATCTGAATGTCATATCGGAAATGCGATTATCGATTCATCTAAATAAAAAGAACGTAGTTTAGTAACATAGTAACATGACACTTCACATACGTGTTTCCTTATGAATTATACGACGGGAGGTTTAGATAAAATATTTTTTCGCCAAAGAACACTGGAAATTGATGTGCAATGTATACCAAGGCGCGACAATTCTTAAAATCATTATACTTTGTATATACCGAGCATTCTCTATACTACTGTACGCTATAGTCATTCTATAGGAAGAGAGTTTCTGCTTTTATGTAATATACTTAATGTAGTGTATAGTCTTATACACCTTTAATTAAGGTAGGTGTCAGTAGATCCAATTAGATAAAACACGTGACCACAGATAAGGTATAATAATAGATTTATCACCTTATGGCACTTCGTGGGCCAAATCTGTACTACCGACAACTTAAAAAGTCTGTCATTTTAATGTAACGGCAATCTGTTGAATGTTTATAAGGGATCTTAACTGTTTTTTATTTTATGTAGGTCTACTTTAATAGACATTCGTCTGAGAAATTCAATAAAGTTTATAGGATTTTTCGTGTTTTAGCAATGTTAAATTCATCCTTTAAACTTAAGCACAACTTAACCAACGCATATGTTTATCGGTAACGTCGGGTACTGACGCGAAAATGATAACTGAGAGCTAGCGCCCCAGTAAATCGGGTCACGAGAATGCATTGGATGTTACATATGTCTATTTTTATACCTCGTCTGTGACGTGCATTAGAATCGATGGTGATACGCGTTGTCTCTGATAGATGACATTGAAGTGTCCAACAAAAAGCAAAACTTTCAAAAATTCAAAACTAACCGCTAGAAGGTAACGATCATAAACAGTTTCTCGCAGCACTCAATGGCGCCTTGGATAGGCATAAATATTTATGTAAGTTTTTAAAGAAGTTATGTATAAGTACTTCTTGTATACAGCAAGAAAGTTACTACCCTTTATTAATTCAAGATCATTAGAATTCTTTTTACCGCTTAGGATTAGTCCCCCTATTCTTTAAAAACCTTGTAATTGTTAATTGTTTAGGCATGAGTACCTGTTACTCAAATACTTTCCTCCATAGACGACTATAGCTCCACGACTATATTTACATATTAATGAATCATTGAATCTATGGTTGCAGGCGGGGGGACGTTTAGAAGACTAGCTATTACCACAGGCGAGGTATAGGAACCTCTAGTACCTATTAGTAAAGAAGTCACTCAACATTTTCAATGACTGGCAAATCCTACGGTTGATAAACATGTCAGTTCGTAGATGTCGCGTGGCTACCTGGAATGTGCTAGTAGAGTATCCTCGAGGGAGAAAGATCACGCAACCGATAAAACTTGCGCTTACAGTTACTATTAATTAGATTCATGAGTCAGTAGAAAACCATCTTACTGGGAAAAATAAATCATTGATAGAATCTAAAGAATTAATCGATTGAGTCGGCAGGGGGAGTGGAGGTAAGTGTTCGAGTATGGTAATGCGCGTCAGCGCTTAATTAAATTGGGAATACGAATTACCAAACCAGTACACGCTGGAAACGTTATCGGATAAGAGAATTCGCCTTATCAGATTCAAGGAACAAGGTGGAAAAGGGTGTTGAGTGACTCTTAATCTTTGTAAATTGTGTTGCCAGGTCTACGAAGGTCGCAAACCTGACATGGAGATTTTCTTTAGAACTAAAAAAAAAGGAGGACCAGTGACCGCGCCCAGGACTTGCGAACGGGGAATCCTTTCCATCGTAAGAAAAACACAAATCGATCGTCCAACGACAGCTGACCAGATTTTCTGACAGTGGTTCATTGTTGGTTCACGCAGAAATGCATGCGTGGCGATGCAAAGGCGGAGCAGTCCGTATCAGTGTATCGGTGTACATATTCGCGGTCGTCAGTGGTCGAACGTGTCATGTGTGCGCGCCGTAAAGTGAGCAGCTTGGCACTTGTAGTTGCAGCCTTTAGGTTTGAATAAGGGGAGGAGCCTTGCTGCATTTCCAAACGCAATTATCCCCATTCTCCCTCGGCTTCCATTCCTGTTTCGTGCTGCCGTCCCTGTCTATCTAGAGTGCATACAATACGGCGCCATCTTGGTCGCGTGCATTCCTCCGTTTTCTCGATTTTTTCCCCTCGGTTTCTCTGTCTTTTCCTCTTTTTTGTCTTTCTCCTTTTTTTTCGCCGACCAGTCCCCGATCCGTCGGGGAACCACCATTCGCCAGTCGCGACCATCCACTAACTGCACCCGCTTCGTCGCGATTTCGTCTTTTCTGGGGGTGTTGCTCGAACCACCTCGCACTCGAAGAATGGCTTTCCTTAACAATCACTACCTGTCGATTATGAGAAGCGGGTTCTCCCTTTGATATTTCTGTAGAATCTTCGTTGTTCTCGGGTATCCTTTCTCAACTGCAATCAATGGTCGGTATATACCCGTCATTTAGGCTGCAGTCCTGATCTCTGAAGCTGTTTTCATTTCACGTTAGGACGCTGCGCGAGATCCTTTTCGATGATTGTTTGGCAAGTAACGTGCATCATCTGACCCTCGTTAAGACTTTTTCAAGTCTCATATAATAAATATATAGACGAAGGTTGTTAAATTTGGACTATTACCTAGGTTAGACTACTGCTGTAACTTGCCATATGTAAGCAATTTGCGTCGTGTGATATACAATATGTGTTACTTATATGCTAAGTCAATTAATGCAATCACCATAGACATATTGTCTGTCATACAGCATAAATTGATTTCACATGACAAGTTATAGTACTGATATAATCTAGTCGATGGTCCAAATTCGGCGATCGTCCCCTATATTCTCATCTCAAACGCTGGACGAATTGCGCCCACGTTACTTCGGCCGCGGAAACCGATTAACTTTTCCCGGTGAAACTTCACCGTGACCGATCTATCGTGACTAAATTCCTTGTCCACTGTTTCACGCAGTCTTGACGAATGAATTGAATTAGGTGTTTTACGCAACCACTTATTCGACGATGAGAACAGAGACACCAAGTGCGCTTCGTAACCTTACAGTGAGTACGTACCTCCAGCCTGGTGTATGTCCTCCAGTAGGCTCCACGTCCGAGGGAAGACATACGTAAGATATCCTGGAAATATGGAACGTGATTCTTGCGCAAACGCGGAAGAGAATCTCGACCTGTGTGCACGATCGTTAGCGTAGCTTTGGAGTGCTTTGTAGTATCAGGAGCGTCAATCGTTAGACCGATTTCCCGTTACGAGGTTGTATTTCAGCATGATGGCGGGGACAATAAACCATCAGCAGCCCCGGTGTCTCGTTATTCCTGCAAAACTCGGCGCAATTTCCGCGCGATGACGGACGGGAGAGGTCCGCGAGACAGGACAGGATAGAAGCCGGGGAAGGGGTATGTGTGTATGTGACGTTGGGTGTGTGATAAAATATATATGTATATGTATATATATTTTTTTCCTCTCCCACAGACAAGCGTGTATTCGTGGGAATACGCAGTTGTCGCCGTTATCGATACCCTCTCTTGAAAGTGGCATTAACTGGACTGACGGTTATCGACGCGGAGGGATCACAAGGCAGGCAACGTGTATTATTAAGCGCTGTTAACTTTATACACTTGTGACATACGTGTCGGCCTCATTATCACGATTTAAGCACGTCCGCTATCGCGTTACATTACCGGGAAATTGCGGCACGTGAAATCGTTTCGCTGAAACCGCGGTTTAGACAGTGCGGCTAATCTTGATCCGCGGAAATACGAGTACGTATGCAGTTTTCTTGTATTCTTTGTTTTTTATGATTGCCTGTCTGGATAAAACGGGGCTCGGGAAAGAAAAGAGAGGACGGGGGATGGAAAAAAACACGGTCACGTGAAATCGGAACTCGATAGACTACGCGTCGATGATGAGGAACACTGTCTGTAGATGACTCTGTTTAATCGTATGCTTTTAGGGTCGTAAACGAATAGGGTTTGTGTTTAAAATTGTGAGTTATTAAGAAAATCTCGTGAGCTAGCAACATAGAATAATTATTAGTAAATTCAATCCTATATAATAAGATGTTTAACGTGTCCGTTCGTTTGTTAGCAAAATCTTGTCCAGAGGCTTTTTTTCGTACTGCCTGATGACCTAAAAGGTTGAAAATTGGCACGATATTTCCTGGGCACCCAAGATTACAGAAAAAGCTCCTAAATCTGGAACATTCCAAAATGGGTAGTATTTGCGGTTGAAAACAGGTACCATGTTTATCTTAAGGGCCCAAAGTTAATTTTCAGTATAACGTGAATGTTTACTATGATATAATGGTGTATTAAAAGAAACATCGAGATTTTTTGATCCTGCAATGCGCAGATGGCGATAAACGTTGAAATGTCTTCTTCTTCTTCTTATATTTTTCGCTCTCTGTGTCTGGCAAGATAAAAAAAATCAGTATTTGTTTCTAGAGGGATTTTTCTGTGGTATCATAGTAATGTCTCGCGGAGCCAGGCTTTAATGCTGGTACAACAAATAAAGCGACAGCAGTTGAATAATATGACTTAAACTTACATGAGTTTATGTAGACGAGCCTAATAGAAGTGAATACGATCGCAAAGATCCAATCAGTTTATCAGGGGTTGCTCGGGTGGTGGGCGATGATGGGGCTCGCGTGTAGAATAACTTTCGTTTCGAAACAAAACCCAAGAAACTGGATAGGTTCGAGTAATTTTCAAATAATTGCCTGTCCAAGCCGGGTCTAGGAGGCCCCCTCCCCCCACCGCCGATCCCTTGGCCGTTCGGTGAAGGAGAATAAACGTATTCCTTCTGGCTAGCGTGATGGCCTCTCCAGCCACGGCTACCGGCATCCTCCTCGCCGGGGAATAATTTTCGATGGCGGCCGATGATTTTCAGACGTCCAACCGAACCGCTTCGATCCACGATCTTTTATTCATCAGAAATCGGTCGAGAAATTGCGTGGAAAAAAAATTCGGAAGCGGCCGGAGGAGGATGGTATAGGGATCCAGACATCGGGTTCTGCGGCCATTATGGCGTTGCTAGGTGACGTTGACACAAAGCCCGTGAAACGATGATAAATATCGTTCTTGAGAATCACAGATCTTGAAATATAGTCTTGAAAATTCTAGAAGCCTTAATGGGTACTCCAAATATATATTATAAACAGTAATGTAATTATAATATAATAAATAGTAATAGGAACTGTTCTAATCTACAATGAATTAAATGAGGATCAATTTACGGTTTGAAAATCTGTTGGAATTACTTTCCAATGATTAATATTATTG